CTGCCGCTCTATAACCTCCGGTTAATTTTGTGTAAGTTTGACTCTTTCAAGCAACGCTCGTCCATAGACTGGTGTTCGATATTCCTTTTCAAGTCAATGTTTGAAATAGATTTTAGTTAACAAAGAAATAAAGAATTGAAATATTGCACTGTCTACATTATCACCATATTCACACTAGGGTTGCGACCGGGTACGAAAATTGAACTCTAGTACCCGGCAGACAATACCCGAACCGGACTCGAGTATCCGTAGTTCAATGTTGTCCCACTTGTTTGTAATGCTTTTGCGAAAATAAGGTCATCAAACATCTATTGATCTATTCTAAGGTATTATGTTTTTTATTTAATGCCTGCATGGCTTACCTAAAACCACAAGTGACGCAGAATATCAAAGTAAATGCTCTTGTGTTTAAAACTTAGATGCTTTTTCATCGTCGAACTACCTGCGTAGCTGATACATATGCTATAGAGACGGCATTTGGTCTTTTTCTTTGTGTCATCAAGGTCAAAATACGCCCAAACATTTGAACGGTTGTCCGCTTTGTCGTCCATTTTGAAGTGACTTACGAGTTATCTCCCCTGAACAGGTACTCGATTCCGGAAAATTGGACTCGAGTCCTAGGCTACCCGACCCGTTATCGGGTACTCGAGTACCCGTCGCAACCCTAATTCACACTGAGAACATGTCTGTGCACAGTTACGGCCCCTTCCCGTCATGGATCCGCTGATCGTGAGTTTAAGTCTCATATTTGGTAAAGCGTTATAGGTCTACGACTAGCGTCCTCCCACATCAAGCTGACACGCCGTCGCATATCAGAGAGGCTGTTCTGAGCGACGTTAAATCCAATTGACACTCACACATATGCCCTAAATACACACGTTAAAAAGCCTAGGTCTTTGAATGCAAAGGACACTGGGTTGTGGCTGCAGTTGGGTTAAATGCAGTATTTATTAATCAGCGCACTAGTTTATCACGCAATATAAGCAGCGAGCATGAGTATTATGGTAACAGGCCACAGATCATATAGTTTCTGTTCGAATCACAAAGAACGGATGTCGATATCTAAGGGACGTAACTCTACATGTGGACTTAGATTACTGGGCCACACCAATCTCATTAAAATCAGATCTTAGTTCTCGCTATCACTAAACAAAGATCTGAGGACATGCCATGACGGGTCACGTCAGAACGACCTTTCATCCAACCAATCAGAGCGTCGCTTACCAGATCATGAAAGTGACAGACGGAATGTGTTTTCTGATCATGCAACCACGAAATATTTAACACGGGGTATTCCGAACGACAGTTACGGTCTTTATGATTTTATTCATAAAATCTAGGCCATCTGTAAGTCATTCCAGAATGTTCTTCTTATCAGTTTCAAATTTTTTAACCGAGAATACGTCAAAATATGTTTCGAAGCGTAGTCGCTAGTTTGAAACAAGTGTCGTAAAGCTCGAGAAAGCTGCCTTCTGATTGGTTAATGTCGATTTCTTGTCAGTCATTTCATTGATCGGTCAAAGTTCGCGAGAGGTCGTTCTGACGTGACCCGTAATGGGATGTCCTCAGATCTTTGTTGAGCGGTAGCGAAAACTAAGATATGATTTTAATGAGATTGGGGCCACACATGCCCCTAAGTAATGATCATATACTACACATATTGTGATAGGGATAATCAGATAGTTCAGATAAATTTAAATATAACAATTTAAATATTATGAGAATCAGTTTGTGCATCAAGGAAAGGTAAATCATACCCCTACCAAAAGTGGTGTAGCAAATTAAAGAACGTATTTGGTTAGAGGTTGTGTGTCAACTATATTGTGTCGGTGTAAATGATTATTCCAAACGGTACAAATGACATTGGAGGAATACATTTGTATATCTCATTTGCAAAGCAATACTTTAGCTTTTATGATAAGTCGTTAAAGCGCCTACCCGTGAAGATTCCGGGGTAGAATAGGTCTTCAGCAACCCATATTTCACCGAAAATAATCCCTTGTCCAACTTTAGAACTCGCATATCGATGACTTCGTTACACGTGTTACTGCCGGGTGTGGGTGATTTTACGAACTTGTTTGTCCACCCCTCTGGCTTCTGTTCATTCATATCATATCTCTATTATATTATGATCATAACAGCATGGAGATACAATACAATGGATAATCGAGGATGGCCCCGTAGGGTTAACACACCCAACCCTAAAAAGCAAAATCTGTTTGTCGTACGAGGCGTTTCAATGGATCGGGTAGTCGGTCTCGATGACTTGGCTGATTGCAAGCCCTCGCACGCCGACGGCATAGATCGTTTGTTCTTAATATCAATCCCTGGTTTGTCTCGTCCAGGCTTAATAATTTATTCTCGCGAAGAGAGCGCTTGATGGCTATATCTTTAAGACGTTTTGTGTACCCGACCCAAGAACAGCCCATCGGAGCTAGGATAATTTTAAAACATGCATGCATGAGCATGACATGTAGTTAACAGGGCGTAAAGCTGGCCCGTAGAGGCCCAATATTAAAATGAATACATTGAACACCAGAAGGCAGCTCATCCTATACCTGCGTGAATTTACAAACAAAATAAACAGGTTTGAACAGCTCCGAGCAAGTATAAAGATGTTCACAGACAAGCCCATCACTGTCTAATCTTCAAGGGTTAAGGCATACTCTGTGAACTCAAAGTACATCGTACGAGAGATCCGTTCGCATTCAAACCCTCTTTTTTGCAATGTATTATAAGAAATCGTAAGTGTGGAATAAAAATGTTTACAATTAGGAAAGTGATGTGTCGTACACAGCTTGGGGCGCATCGTACTTGAGGTCCCCTAATCATTGAGCTTAAGGTGCGCCCTACTAGACACACACGATCATTGACCTTAAGGTGCACCCTACTCGACAGCCACAATCATTGAGCTTAAGGTGCACCCTACTCGAAAGCCACAATCATGGAGCTTAAGGTGCATCCTACTCGACACCCCCAATCATGGAGCTTAAGGTGCACCCTACTCGACAGCCACAATCATGGAGCTTAAGGTGCATCCTACTCGACACCCCCAATCATGGAGCTTAAGGTGCATCCTACTCGACACCCCCAATCATTGACCTTAAGGTGCACCCTACTCGACAGCCACAATCATGGAGCTTAAGGTGCATCCTACTCGACACCCACGATCATTGACCTTAAGGTGCACCCTACTCGACAGCCACAATCATGGAGCTTAAGGTGCATCCTACTCGACACCCACGATCATTGACCTTAAGGTGCATCCTACTCGACAGCCACAATCATTGAGCTTAAGGTGCATCCTACTCGACAGCCACAATCATGGAGCTTAAGGTGCATCCTACTCGAAACCCCCAATCATTGACCTTAAGGTGCACCCTACTCGACAGCCACAATCATTGAGCTTAAGGTGCATCCTACTCGACAGCCACAATCATTGAGCTTAAGGTGCATCCTACTCGACACCCACGATCATTGACCTTAAGGTGCATCCTACTCGACACCCCCAATCATTGACCTTAAGGTGCACCCTACTCGACAGCCACAATCATTGAGCTTAAGGTGCATCCTACTCGACAGCCACAATCATTGAGCTTAAGGTGAATCCTACTCGACACCCACAATCATTGACCTTAAGGTGTATCCTACTCAACAGCCACAATCATTGACCTTAAGGTGCATCCTACTCGACAGCCACAATCATTGACCTGAAGGTTTATCCTACCTGACACCCACAATCATTGACCTTAAGGTGTATCCTACTCAACAGCCACAATCATTGACCTTAAGGTGTATCCTACTCAACAGCCACAATCATTGACCTTAAGGTGCACCCTACTCGACACCCACAATCACTGACCTTAAGGTGCACCCTACTCGACACCCACAATCATTGACCTTAAGGTGCATCCTACTCGACACCCTCAATCACTGACTTTAAGGTGCACCCTACTCGACACCCACAATCACTGACCTTAAGGTGCATCCTACTTGACTCCCTCAATCATTGAGCTTTAGCTACATCCTACTCGTTCCTCACTTCTTGAACTAAAGTACAAAAGGCCCATACTCATTGACTGTAAGGTGGAGTGTACCTTTCTCTTTGAACTAAAGGTGCATTGTACAAGTGGCCCATACTCATTGACTGTAAGGTGGAATGTACCTTTCTCCTTGAACTAAAGGTGCATTGTACAAGTGGCCCATACTCATTGACTGTAAGTGGAGTGTACCTTTCTCCTTGAACTAAAGGTGCATTGTACAAGTGGCCCATACTCATTGACTGTAAGTGGAGTGTACCTTTCTCCTTGAACTAAAGGTGTATTGTACAAGTGGCCGATACTCATTGACTGTAAGGTGGAGTGTACCTTTCTACTTGAACTAAAGGTGCATTGTACAAGTGGCACATACTCATTGACTGTAAGGTGGTGTGTATCTTTCTCCTTGAACTAAAGGTGCATTCTACAAGTGGTCTATACTCATTGACTGTAAGGTGGAGAGTACCTTTCTCCTTGAACTAAAGGTGCATTGTACAAGTGGTCTACACTTATTGACTGTAAGGTGGAGTGTACCTTTCTCTTTGAACTAAAGGTTCATTGTACAAGGGGTCAATACTCATTGACTGTAAGGTGGAGTGTGCCTTTCTCTTTGAACTAGAGGTTCATTGTACAAGTGGTCTTTACCCATTGACTGTAAGGTGGAGTGTACCTTTCTCCTTGAACTAAAGATGCATTGTACAAGGCTACTGCCTCTGTAAAACATTAAATATTTGAATGTTTATCTGAATAATAATCAGGTACAGTACAAGATATACAACTGTCAATCGAATCATCTATTGTTGAGATGGCAGACGATATTATATAGAAAAAATATGCACATTATGTCAACTATGTTGGATCCTGCACAGAGAAATAAAACACTGTTTATTATTTCTATCTTCCTTCACTATTGTCGAGTCTGTGAGATGGCAATTACTCATAAATATTGACAAATAATCTCCCTTCGCATTTGGGTCATTTTATTCATTCCCAGCATTTTGCTCATCAAAATTTGGATCATGGAAGTTATCTGCCCTAATCTGTCTCTGGTGCTCGTCAACAGAGGGCAGCACCTGAAATGAGTTATCTACACCATCTGCGACAGCAAACGTGCTGGAACCCACAGCAGACTGACAACCCCCAAACTGACCCTCGAATAATATATTCTGTATTTTTAACTTCACTAACTGTCGGGTCCTCAGATCGGTTATCAATCTAAGTTCATGTGAGACGTGTCTGCCAAATACATCTTCCCGATCTTCTGAACTTGCTGAGGGCATGGTTTGAGATGGAGATTCATTACAATAGTTTGACTCGGGGAACATGTCCACTGGAGATTGATTGTCAGCATGTTTCTGAGACACCTGGTGTGATCTGTTTTTGTTAGATACGTGTGTTCTGGGCGATTCTTCCAGAGCTTCATCCGGACACCGCCTCTTCCTCAGACTCCTGGTGTTGCTGGTGGCGTCATCCTGGGGTGGAGCTTCGGGGTTCTCCAGCTTCAGAGACTGGTTCCCATTGGTTGTTGTGTCATCATCTAAATCCCCAGAATCATCCTAGAAACCAAACATCTTTTATTGAAGGGGTATTAGGTTGGGGTACATCGGCTCTCCTCGTCATTTAAACCTAAATACTGTACATGACATCAACTCACTTACACACATGACAACAACTCACCTTCACACGACATCAACTCACCTACACACATGACATCAACTCATCTGCACATGACATCGACTCACCTACACACACGACATCGACTCACCTACACACAACATCAACTCACCTACACACATGACATCAACTCACCTACACACATGACATCAACCCACCTACACACACAACATCAACTCACCTACACACGACATCGACTCACCTACACACACAACATCAACTCACCTACACACATGACATCAACCCACCTACACACGACATCGACTCACCTACACACATGACTTCAATTCTCACCTACACACATGACATCAACCCACCTACACACGACATCGACTCACCTACACACATGACATCATCCCACCTACACACACGACATCGACTCACCTACACACATGACATCAACCCACCTACACACGTCATCGACTCACCTACACACATGACATCAACCCACCTACACACGACATCGACTCACCTACACACATGACATCAACCCACCTACACACGTAATCGACTCACCTACACACATGACATCATCCCACCTACACACGACATCAACTCACCTACACACACAACATCAACTCACCTACACACGACATCGACTCACCTACACACATGACATCATCCCACCTACACACGACATCGACTCACCTACACACACAACATCAACTCACCTACACACGACATCGACTTATCTACACACATGACATCATCCCACCTACACACGACATCGACTCACCTACACACACAACATCAACTCACCTACACACGACATCGACTTATCTACACACATGACATCATCCCACCTACACACGACATCGACTCACCTACACACACAACATCAACTCGCCTACACACGACATCGACTTATCTACACACATGACTTCAATTCTCACCTACACACATGACATCAACTCACCAACACACATGACATCAACTCACCAACACACATGACATCAACCCACCTACACACATGACATCAACTCACCTACACACATGACATCAACCCACCTACACACATGACATCAACTCACCTAAACACATGACTTCAACTCACCTACACACACGACATCGACTCACCTACACACACGACATCGACTTATCTACACACACGACATCGACTCACCTACACACACGACATCAACTCACCTACACACACGACATCGACTCACCTCCTCTGACAGTTCCATGTGTTTCCTGCCCTGGATGAAGGGGTAGAGAAATCTGTCCATGGTCTTGAAGTGCTCCCACTTGGACACAAACAGGTCATCTCCCTTTGCTCCCTTGGCCTTTGACCTCTTGATCTTGTTGACCTCCTTGCTATAGTATGTCCTCAGATTTGTGATCTTCTTGTTGATCTCAACAGCTGCAAGTCAGAAGATAGCATTTCAAACCCAACAAGAAATTATCAAACTCATTCTTTAACAAAAACAGTATTTTAAATATTATATTCAAGGTAACCAAAAGGTGTTGCAAGGCTTCTATACATTTATTGACAAGTTACAATGCAAAATCTTATCGAAATATGGGCAGAAAGCTCTTTGTATCTTTCTGGAGTTTTTGCAGAATTAGTTCATAGGGGTGATAATAAAAAAATCTGCTAAAAGAATGTTGTGAAAAAGGTTTTTTACACACCAGATATATACATGTATGTGTACTTTAAACTTCACAGTAAATATCAGTATATAAGCAGTTTTAAGGACATCATTGCTGGGATAATACATGCAAAAGTTCAGCTCCCTACAATGTTCTAGGTCTTGTGGTTTCAAATGAGTTGTCATACATACAAATGATTATGCCAGACGTATGGATGCATTGTCAAACGATGGCATTACATGGTGACATAAGCACACATGAACTTTTAATTCTGGTGAAGCAAATTTGACAATCGTGTACATGAGTACAGATATTGATAAGTACACAAGAACATTAAATATGCTTGCAGTAAGATATAGACACATCAACATTCCCTGACAAACTGAAGCAGGTCTGGCCCAAGTCAGAGCATTTAATTGTCACGCCAAAGGCCTGGGTTCAATTCCCCACATGGGTACAATGTGTGAAGCTCATTTCTAGTGTCTCCTGTCGTGATATTATCATTATTTTTATGATTATTTACAGTATAAAATACAAAATGCAACAAAGAGGGTATTGGTGATCCTGGCACAGTCAGGCTGGTTAGGCTCATTATCAGCTCAGGGCCCTTGCCCCTCTACACGCATCCCAGACAGCGAATGGGACTTTTCCCAGGAAGTGCTGCCTAGTCGAACCCACCCAGAACTTTTCGGAGAATGTGAAGACTCCCCAACACTGCAGCCTTCTGCAGGTCAAGCAGTCATCATTGACAAGCAGAAGTCTGATACTTTCTACATGGAGTGTGGAGTTCCCCAAGGATGAGTGCTAGGTCCACTGTTGTTTATACTGTTTACAAACAGTCTAGAGATTGCGGTACAGAATCATTGACTGAACCAGGAGTCATTTGAAGACGACACACAACTGCTCAATTCATTTACAGAAACATCAGTATCACTGGGTCACATTACTGAGTGCTCTATTGACATTAAGTGGTGGATGTCATCAAGGAGGCTTAAGTTAAATGACGACAAAACCGAAGCTCTACTAGCGTGCAGCAGAGACAACCATTACCATTGGACAATCGCAGATTGACTTCATGGACAAAGTGAAAAGTCTAGGTATAATCATTGACTCAAACCTCAGACAAGGTCAGATAAGGAACCACATCACCACAGAGGCGGCTAAGAACCTGATTCAGTCTTTGGTGTTGTCTCGGCTTGACTATGGAAACAGCTTGTTGTGGGGGGTTGCAAAGCAAACGCTAGGCCGTTAGTGCAGAACACGGCAGCCAGGATTGTGACAAGGACATCACGCATCACCCCTGTCCTCAAGCATCTACACTGGCTTCTGGTTGAGTCAAGGATCACGTACAAAATGCTGTCTTTGACTTACAAGTGTGTCAACAACCAGGCTCCTGCTTATCTCTCCACTCTGCTCCAGCTTCATCATCCACCAAGAACTCTTCCATCAGCAAATCAACACCTGCTATCTGTTCCTCAGCATAGACTTTCCAGCCATGGACTAAAGACTTCAGTGTGGCTGCCCCAAAGTTATGGAATGATCTTCCACTTGAGATTAGACTTTCCTCAACATTTAAGACATTCAAAGCAAAACTGAAGACACCTTTGGTAAAAAAAATGCTTTCCAAAGTGACATTTGAATGTAGTGCTTTTAGCAGGCTAGCGCATTATAAGTGCACATTATTATTATTATTATTATTTATTATTATTATTATTATCATCATCATTATTATTACCCAGATTGACAGAAGGGCTGTATTCTTGGTAGCAAACCCAGGTACTATCCCAGTGTCAGTCAACAGATTTGGAGGTACCAAACCTAAGGCACCGAGAACCATGGGGAGTCGGACAACTTGGTTCTTGGGATGCAAGCGTGACATTTTGAAAGCGAGGTCTGCATATTTGACATGTTTTTCCCCAATCTTGTCAATCACATAAGTGTTAAAGGGGACAGAAAATTCAATGATATGAATGATTTCATTGGATTTATCAAAAAGGACAATATCAGGTTTTTTCGCCTGGATACATCTGAGGCTGTAAACAAAATTTTCATGATGCCCTCTACATATTCTGGGTCGTACCATGCATGGACCTCTGTGTCAAAACCACAAGCATTGCGAAGATGGTAATAAAATGATCAATCTACACCATCATGTCGCTTGAGATACTGTGTTTGTGCCAAAGCTGGGCATTCACTGACAATGTGTTGGACAGTCTCAATAAATTCATCGCATAATCTACATCTCATACTTACATTTTGATGCAAAATCACAAACTGACAGTTTCAAGGGGGAGGTGACTGGTCCTGAGCGGCATATTATTATTATTATTATTATTATTATTATTATTAATATTATTATTATACTGCACTTATCCAGGTATTATATCGCATTATATTATATTGCTGGAATATTGATAAGTGCAGCGTAAAACCCAACACACTCACTCACTCACCATTGATGCCCAGCATAGCGCTGATCCTATTGAGAGCCTGTCTGCGCTTGTCCTTACGGTAGTAGTGTTCATGGGTGGTGTTCCACAGCAGGTCTTCCTCCTCGTACAGCTCCAGCAGCTCCTCGATCTTACTGGCGTCGCGGAACGCCATCTCCGCCCGATGCCTGAACATAGATCATTCCCCTCCTCATCATGTGTTCCTCCCTCAAGTGGTCATTATGGGTTAAATATCTAAGTTTTGTCTGTTACGAAAATATATTGAAATATTTTGAATTTTGAGCACATGAAATTTTACTTCTCATGTCTTCCACAAAGGGTCATTGATGCCCAAGTCTGGCAAATATCCTGTAAAAATCTCAAATGATGTTACCGCCTACTTCAGACACCTGCTATGATGGTCATTATAGAACCTTCATTAATTGAGAGAAAAAAGAAGAAATATATTATGAACTTCCTCCAAAACTTTGAAAGCATAATAATAATGTTTGCAGATGAAGTTTTTGCAAAGGCATTTTCTTCACTGTGGACATTTTGAATTTTTGAAAATGAAAACTATACTTAGTTTTCACATGTTTAGCCTGGGACATGCAGAATGAGTATGATATTTGAAATGTTTTGAAGAATAAGCAAAGTATGTTCAGTGTACTAAGGTGAACATAACAGCAAAAACATTGAAAAGCACTGTCTTCATTCCTGAATTCAAACTAATTTCTTCACCAGAAGATATTGTACATACAATATGGTCACAAAAGGCATTTATTATCTTAAATAATGTTTTTCATTATAACTTCTTTCAGTGGCATTTAGAAGTTGGTGTGATGAAGAAAGATAAGTTCTATGGATGAACAACTTCTTTATTACAATTAGTGTGATGTTTCTGTGTAGATCCTAACACCTTTATCATCACTTGCTTGATAAAGGTGTTAAGATCTACACCGAAACGTCGCACTAATTGTAATAAAGAAGTTGTTCATCCATAGAACTTGTCTTTCTATTTCATTATACATGAAATATATGTTTGATTCCCACATACCAGGCTGTACTTAGTTTTCACTAGACCAAGAAATAAAAACATTCTGTCCTAAAACATTATATTTCTTTAATTGCAAAATTAGAATATACTTATAATTAATACAAGATAATATTTGGGTTTGGACTTAGTTTTGTAGATCACCCACTCCGGTGGAAAATGGAAAAATAACAACATGAACATGTCTTTCTTTGTAACCGATTTTAAGGCCCACGTGTTAATTGTACTCTGATTCATGTGTAACTCATGCAGTGTAGAACGGCGAAATGGGGTAGCAGAATGAAAATTCTGAAGGAAATTTTTTGTTAAATTTCATTAAATCTTGTCCAGTAAATAAAACAACAGATTAATTACACATAGGCCTACATAGAAATGTTTGGCCTCAGTAAAATTGTAATTCAGTGAAACAAATAATTCAGTTGACTTAATAATGAAGATATGTGTTGTAAAATGCCTCAATATTTCTGACAACAGAACCATTTTCTGAACAAAATCCATAAAGTTTGTCCTGAGAAACATAAATATTGGATGTGACATCACACTCCTCATAATACTTTGGTTGGTTGATTTGTTGTTTAACGCCGCACTCAGCAATATTCCAGCAATATGACGGCGGTCTGTAAATAATCGAGTCTGGACCAGACAATCCAGTGATTGACATCATGAGCATCGATCCACGCAATTGGGATACAACGACATGCATCAACCAAGTCAGCGAGCCTGACCACCCGATCCCGTTAGTCGCCTCTTACAACAAGCAGAGTCGCCTTTTACGGCAAGTATGGGTTGCTGAAGACCTATTCTACCCCGGATCTTCACGGGTTCCTCATAATACACAGGACAGGAGGATTCATCATGACCATCATTGGAACTGAGTAAAACTGATAAAATATAGATATGAAGGAAATGACACAGAGGAAGATAACAAGTTCATAATGAACATCCATAACAACACCTTAATGGTCATGAGTTTACCTCCAGTACCATTAGGCCTAGTTTGGCATTACAATTGAGAAATATTTCAATCTGATTATGCTATGGTGGAATATTATTTTGAATTAAAATTGTCTTGTTCCTAAAATACCTGTATCTTAAAGATGGGGAATAATTCATATATTTATCCACTGTGGTAAAAAAAAAAGAAAGGGACATTTATTAATAGGTAAACCGGTTTTAATAATTATGTCACTGAAGGGATACAGCCATTTTGCTCAGAGCTGTCGGGTTCGAGAGTGTCTCATACGACGGTGTCTTATACAATTTCAAAATTTCCCACATCAACATGAAGAATGGGGAATTAAACATACGTACTGCGCAGTGATCTTGCAATCTCAATAATTACACATCGTCGCATACGATTTATCTCATTCGACACCCTCTGGTTGCATTTGTCGGAGGTGTGTGTGGCTCGACGTCATTTCCTCCATCACGTGACGTGTCACGTGATTGAGTCAGTCTTGATCACGTGAAGCAAACAAGTCACATGAGGCGTTGTCCCCGCTGATTACGACACAGATATTGACGAGCTGTGGCTGTTGCTGTTGTTGGCTGTGAAAGTTTGATAAAACGAAGATGTCGATGGTTGGTGGTGCATCCGCAGTGAAACCTGCAACAAGAGAAGTGCAAGAACTTTGTAATAAGGTGAGAGAGCAACTGTGCAAGTGTCTGATGCAGACGAGTGGACAGATATTGAGAGCCCCTGAAGCGGAAATCCGATAGCAATACGTATCCTGTCGTCATTGTAGATGGCTGCAGCCTTGCCGGGTCTTGTCCTGACTGTTGTCAACGCCATACCCGTCAGTGTAGATGGCTGCAGTATTGCCGGGTCTTGTCCTGACTGTTGTCAACGCCATACCCGTCAGTGTAGATGGCTGCAGCCTCGCCGGGTCTTGTCTTGACTGTTGTCAACGCCATACCCGTCAGTGTAGATGTGTGCAACCTTGTCGGATCTTGTCTTGACTGTTGTCAACGCCATACCCGTCAGTGTAGATGGCTGCAGCCTTGTCGGATCTTGTCCTGACTGTTGTCAACGCCATACCCGTCAGTGTAGATGTGTGCAACCTTGCCGGGTCTTGTCGTGACTGTTGTCAACGCCATACCCGTCAGTGTAGATGGCTGCAGCCTTGCCGGGTCTTGTCCTGACTGTTGTCAACGCCATACCCGTCAGTGTAGATGTGTGCAACCTTGCCGGGTCTTGTCGTGACTGTTGTCAACGCCATACCCGTCAGTGTAGATGTGTGCAACCTTGCCGGGTCTTGTCGTGACTGTTGTCAACGCCATACCCGTCAGTGTAGATGGCTGCAGCCTTGCCGGGTCTTGTCCTGACTGTTGTCAACGCCATACCCGTCAGTGTAGATGTGTGCAACCTTGCCGGGTCTTGTCTTGACTGTTGTCAACGCCATACCCGTCAGTGTAGATGGCTGCAGCCTTGCCGGGTCTTGTCCTGACTGTTGTCAACGCCATACCCGTCAGTGTAGATGTGTGCAACCTTGCCGGGTCTTGTCGTGACTGTTGTCAACGCCATACCCGTCAGTGTAGATGGCTGCAGTATTGCAGGGTCTTGTCTTGACTGTTGTCAACGCCATACCCGTCAGTGTAGATGGCTGCAGTATTGCAGGGTCTTGTCTTGACTGTTGTCAACGCCATACCCGTCAGTGTAGATGTGTGCAACCTTGCAGGGTCTTGTCTTGACTGTTGTCAACGCCATACCCGTCAGTGTAGATGGCTGCAGTATTGCAGGGTCTTGTCTTGACTGTTGTCAACGCCATACCCGTCAGTGTAGATGTGTGCAACCTTGCCGGGTCTTGTCCTGACTGTTGTCAACGCCATACCCGTCAGTGTAGATGGCTGCAGCCTTGCCGGGTCTTATCTTGCTAAAATCTACTTCAAACCCGAGAAGATCTGTGTTAGAATAGGTCTTCATCAAGCCATGCTTGACGTAAGAGGCGAAGTCCTACATGTTTGAATACATGATGGATAGCATCATGTCCTGTAACCAGTTTCTCCCACATCTTCTAAATGCCTATCAAAGGACCCGGGAAGATCCGGATTAGAATAGGTCTTCAGCAACCCATGCTTGTCATAAAAGGCGACTATGCTTATAGTAAGAGGCGACTGACGGATTCAGGTGGTCAGGCTCGCTGACTTAGTTGATGCATGTCATCGTATCCCAATTGCCTGGATCGATGCTCATGGCGTCAATCACTTGATTATCTGCTCCAGACTCGATTATTTACAGACTGCCGTCATATAGCTGGAATATTGCTGAGTGTGGCATTAAACAACAAACAAACAATGAACAGGTCATAATTTAGTAGGGCAACAAATAAACACACAAACAAAGCCTATCAAAGACCTCCTATATGTTTGTCATAAGAGCTAGGTGACAATGGGATTGGGTGGTCAAACTCGCTGATTTGGCTGATGCCTATCATATCCCAATTGTGTTGATCATTGTTCATGATATCAGTCACTGGATTGTCTGGTCTAGACTTGATTATTTACATACCGCAATTGTGTTGATCAATGTTCATGATAGCAGTCACTGGATTGTCTGGTCTAGACTTGATTATTTACATACCGCAATTGTGTTGATCAATGTTCATGATAGCAGTCACTGGATTGTCTGGTCTAGACTTGATTATTTACTGCAATCATATAGCTGGGATATTGCTGAGTGAGGCTTTAAACAACAAACATACAAACCACTTGTATTAAATCTACCACTGTTAAGGGTTTAAATGCCACCACTAGTTTCTACTGGTTGTAAGTAATAATGCTACAGGTTTAAACTACTAGGAGGGTTCTGATGGGGATGGTCATTACAAGCGTCGTGGCATTAAAGATTTAGAATCAATTGATGAAATACATATTGTTAACTTTGTTATTACTTGATCATAAGCAAATGTATTGTATTTATTTGTCAGCCAAGTCTGTGTATCATGATCTAACCAATAATGTAATGTGAATAACTTCCTCGACACCTGCTTTCAAATACGAGTAATTATATTTCACATCTCGCAACAAAATATTTATGTATAGATTTGGGAACCAGACCGGTAAATTGTTTTAGAAATGGAAGGCAAAAATCTGTACCTTAATTCTCGATGATTCAAACCTGATGAGGGACCAGTACAAAAGTTTGATGTTGGATAAATGTCTTACTTCCTCATGCCTCAAAACTTAAGGAATTCAATATATTTTTTTATCCAACATCTAACTTTTGAACTGGTCCCTAAGTACATTGAAAGTTGCATGACCGAAAATATATACTCACTGCCAAAAGAAATGCAAACCGTAGAAACATATATAGTCTGGAAGGTAATTTAAGGTATCAATGTTTACTACAATATCTGAAAAACTATCGGACCTACTCCAGTCAAAGTTGGTATGAGATTATTAAACAGTCATACATAACTGGATATTACATTTTAAGACAATCGGTGCATGAATAAAAAAATCTGTCTATTTAGCTATCACTATATTTCATCAACAACCAGACCTGTTCGTCACGGGTGGAATGAGCATTCATTGTAACAGCCATCTGCATAATGCTACCCCAGCGTCACAGGGCCATATGACACAGTTGAACCAATCAACTCAACTCGAAAGGTTGCACGGGAATCACGCACATTGAGACGCCCAATGCTAACACTGTATTCGTGCATGCGTGATTCCCGTGCAACCTTTAAAGGCTTTTGAGCAGCAGTCTTCGCTATATTATGACAGAAAGTGGAATAGTATGTTAAGATTATGCCTTATATCAAATACAGTTAGAATTGATATTCATTATCAACATGATTGGGGCTGACTCAATCTTCTGGAATGGATGGTGGAGTGGGCAGGAGCTAGGACTTTACTCCCCAAAAGTAGAAAGCGTTTGCTGAAGATGTCGTGGAAAAAACTTTGTTGGGGTAAAAAGCATTGGTCGAGACCTCCTCTCACAGAAAAAATTGCATTTCTAAAGCAGTGGCTGAAAAGTATTCTGTTAGAAAAATTCCCAACCCCAGTTTGTGAAGAATAATAGTGAGTATGGTTTTAAGCCGCTTTTAGCAATATTCCAGCAATATCACGGCAGAGGGAACAAGGAATGGGCTTCACAATTTGTACCCATGTCGGGTGAAGAATATGAAATGTTGGGTTTCTTATGTGTATATTTGTTATACGATTTTCCTATCACATAACGTTTGTTAAGCGACTATGCTTGTCATAAGAGGCGACTAACGGGATCGGGGGGTCAGGCTCACTGACTTGGTTGATGCATGTCATTGTATCCCAATTGCCTGGATCGATGCTCATGGTGTCAATCACTGGATTATCTGGTCCAGACTCGATTATTTACAGACTGACGTCTTATGGCTGGAATATTGCTGAGTGTGGCATTGAGCAACAAACAAACAAACAACATAATGTTTGTTACCTGACGGCACTGGACGTTGCTCCCAATATCAGTCAACGTCAAGAGAATGCAATGTGGATGTACCAGTTTAGTCCTCATGGCACTGTATCATCATGTTCATGTAATCTGTATTTAAGCTCATCATGTTCGTGCAATCTGTATTTAGGTTCATCATGTTCGTGTAATCTATATTTAGGTTCATCATGTACGTGTTATCTGTATTTAGGTTCATCATGTTCGTGTAATCTATATTTAGGTTCATCATGTTCGTGTTATCTGTATTTAGGTTCATCATGTTCGTGTAATCTATATTTAGGTTCATCATGTTCGTGTAATCTGTATTTAGGTTCATCAGGTTTGTGTAATCTATATTTAGGTTCATCATGTTCGTGTAATCTATATTTAGGTTCATCATGTTCGTGTAATCTGTATTTAGGTTCATCATGTTCATGTAATCTATATTTAGGTTCATCATGTACGTGTTATCTGTATTTAGGTTCATCATGTTCGTGTAATCTATATTTAGGTTCATCATGTTCGTGTTATCTGTATTTAGGTTCATCATGTTCATGTAATCTATATTTAGGTTCATCATGTACATGTGATCTGTATTTAGGTTCATCATGTTCGTGTAATCTATATTTAGGTTCATCATGTTCGTGTAATCTGTATTTAGGTTCATCATGTTCGTGTAATCTATATTTAGGTTCATCATGTTCGTGTAATCTATATTTAGGTTCATCATGTTCGTGTAATCTGTATTTAGGTTCATCATGTTCGTGTAATCTATATTTAGGTTCATCATGTAAGTGTTACCTGTATTTAGGTTCATCATGTTCGTGTAATCTGTATTTAGGTTCATCATGTTCGTGTAATCTGTATTTAGGTTCATCATGTTCATGTAATCTATATTTAGGTTCATCATGTACGTGTTATCTGTATTTAGGTTCATCATGTTCGTGTAATCTATATTTAGGTTCATCATGTTCGTGTTATCTGTATTTAGGTTCATCATGTTCATGTAATCTATATTTAGGTTCATCATGTACGTGTTATCTGTATTTAGGTTCATCATGTTCGTGTAATCTATATTTAGGTTCATCATGTTCGTGTAATCTGTATTTAGGTTCATCATGTTCGTGTAATCTATATTTAGGTTCATCATGTTCGTGTAATCTATATTTAGGTTCATCATGTTCGTGTAATCTGTATTTAGGTTCATCATGTTCGTGTAATCTATATTTAGGTTCATCATGTTCGTGTTACCTGTATTTAGGTTCATCATGTTCGTGTAATCTGTATTTAGGTTCATCATGTACGTGTTATCTGTATTTAGGTTCATCATGTTCGTGTAATCTGTATTTAGGTTCATCATGTTCGTGTTATCTGTATTTAGGTTCGAGAGGCCTTGCAAAATCAAGCAGGGAGAACATTTGGAGTGTACACAGCCATATCCTTCCGTTCACAAATGGTAGCAGGAACCAACTACTTTGTAAAGGTAACCATGATAACCGCCAATCTTTCAGAGGACTGGGGGCCACTGGTTAAGATATGTCCCCAGTACTCTCAGTGTTAGAAATTGGCACCAGTCCTATAGTCTTTGCCAAAGTGCCCAATAGTTAACATTTCATAAGGAATATAAGAAATTTGCCATTTTAAAAGGGTTTGCTATATGTTACCTTTATAAGGACTAGTGGACTAAAAATGTTAGTTTCTACCTCCATTACTTGTTGGAGATGCTGAATTTGATCAGATGTCAAAGTTGTACATGGTGTGGGGTTTTGTTCATTATATCAACCATTGGTTTGTCCGGACCAGGCTACTCACAGGCTGTCATGATGTAGCTGGAATATTGCAGACTGCGTCATAAGATTTCTTTCATGTAATCTGTTTGAGAGGACCTGCGAAGCGATCTACGCAAATTAGGAGAATGTTTACAGAATACACCTCACGTTCACAAGCTGGAATATTGCTGACTGCGTCTTATAACATATTTCGCTCACTCAGACTTTTGCATAGACGTTAGAACAGCCAAAATGTAACTCCATAATACCTGCCTAGTTCGGCAAGGGTGGAAACTCGACTTTTACAGTCACTTACCCCTCTTGCCTCGTGAAGATGATCGATTATTTGCAAACTGCCATCATATTTAGCTGGAATATTGCTGAGCAAATGCTGAGTGCAGTGGTAAACAATAAACAAACCAAAGACTGGCGTTAAATAACATTCTCTACCTTACACTCTTCGATAAATTATCTTGTGTCACATTGGAGTTTGTCAAATTTGACCAATGTCAATTTCTCCCTTCTACAGATAATTTAGTAACATAATAATAATAATTATTTAGGTCCAAGCATTTGAATTGAATGTCTTTTTTCTATCCTGATATTTAATGTTGTATGGATTTGTATGTGATTGTCCTGGATGTATTTTGTTGATTTTGTAAAAAGTAAACTGTTGATCTAACAAATGTTTCGGAAGGAACATTACTCTAGCTAGACTCTGACAAGACAACACTACAACTGCTATTTGAAATAACACCCTGATAGGTTCGAGTGAGTGAGTGAGTGAGTATCCCGGCGGGGGACAAAACAGATGGGCTTCATACATTGTACCCTTGTGGGGAATCAAACCCGGTCTTCAAATTCGGCATGACCAGTGAACGCTTTTGCCACAAGACTACCCCACCGCCCCAGGTTCTATTGAGCAAACAGTGGTTAGCATGGGACATAACCCTAGATAGACTCTGACAAGTACAAACTGCCATCTGGGATTACAGTCCCTGACAGGTTATATTGAGACGATCCATCACGACCATACAAATACACAAATATGACACAAATATACAGATGGAAATGAATAAGGGGTCACTTAGTTTTAGAAATGTTGAAATAATATGCTAGGATGGGTTCCCAGCCTTGTCTACCAGTAAGCGAGTATGAGATGGATTTACGCCACTTTTAGCAATATTCCAGCAATATCACGGCGATGGAAACAAGAAATGGGCTTCACACATTGTACCCATGTTGGGAATCGAACCCGGGTCTTCGGCGTGACGATCTAATGTTTTAACCACTAGGCTCCCCATCCGCCCCAAAGCTCCAAATACCTGTGGGGAAACAAAGCACACAAACACGTCTTAAAATTTGATTCTGGCGTGTTAAATTTGTATGCATACTATTTCAAATGTACTGACTAAAGCTTTTTTCCTGAAATTTTTCATTGTTCCCTTATTCGTTTCCATCAGAGGGGCACGGAGGGCTCAGGCGTCTAAGGCGCCGCGATTCGCTGTGCAGAGTTGTGTCCCTTGGGCATGCCAGAAACCTATCATTGTGGGTTCGAATTCCGGTTCGCCCCTATTATGTTACTAGGTTTGTCAGCACCATACCCGTGCTCATGGGTTTCACCGAAGTGGTAAACGTCTGAGACCTGCATCACTCCGGGCATTCCTCACACATTAAGCTGACACGCCGCAATATAACTGGAATACTGTTAAAAGCAGCGTTAAACACAACTCACTCACGTTTCCATCAGAATAGGATACAAAGAAACTGATGTCATCATAATAATCATCATAATCCAGTAAATTGTACTTTCCAGGTCCAGGTGGATGAAAACGATGAACACTTTCACCTGAGGATATTCGTCCCCCTCCCCAGCACCAACTTCCAACCCTCCTTGGCTGCCTATCAGCCTGGACACACCGCTGCATCAGATCTGGAGTATTTTGATGCCAAGTAGTCGCCGTCCAAGTTTACACCATGTGCTGGACAAGCTCTTGATAGCTTATGTTCATGGGATCTTTACATCATCTCTCAGTATAACATATCAGTAGCTAAAGCTCAAGCTTCATGTGTTATCTCCCTTGAATAGCTTCAGGAAATGATCTGTTTGTAAATCATTTTGAAATAAAAACAAAAACGAAACAGTTATCATGATTAATCTTGTACATAAAGACAACATCCATTTAGTGAATTTTATACAAAATTAAAGGATATTTTTTACACTTTTTGTCTCGGTGGTGAGCGTCCCCTGCAGCCTGTATCAGTTGTATTGTGTACACTCAAGAAGAACTGCCATTAACACCATGGAACAACATCATGGTGGTAAGATGCTTGTAAACACCAAAACACAAGATTATGATGCATGTATGCTAATTTCCTTCCTCAGATCAGCATCACATCCGCCGAAAGGATATGTCAAATTTGTGCTTGTATTGTTTTGCTTCCCTTTGGGACGCCAGCATGTCAAAAAAATGAAGTTGGTTGACTATTGTCCCTACTACAACAGGTTGTTTTCAGAAATAGTATATTTGCTGCTGTTTAGCGTTTCATAATTCTCATTTTGTAACCTACCATTTTCTATTATACTTGTTTTGTCTATCGGTATGTAGGCTGCTGCAGGGATACCCATATCATGTTATGTTATGTCGCTCTATTGTGACAATGCTTCCTAGAGAGCTGCCTATATGATCTGCTCAGAGGGGTTACAGGGATAAATATATACAGCCAGTATCTTGCTTATGTGTATTCCCCGTGCTTGTGGGTGTCACCAGTGGTACCAGAAAACGTCCGAACCTGCAACGCTTTGGCTTTTCCGTCCATATTAAGCCGACACGCCATGATATAACTGGAATACTGTTCAAAGTGTTGTTAAGCCCAACTCGCTCACTCATATCTATACAATATAAAAATGGTTAAAGTTGCTGAAATTACAAATTGATGTGTGCTGTTTGAAAAGCTGAAAACTTTCTTATATTTTCATGTAAAAATGCTATAAGGCCGCATTTGCAGATTCTGACGTTCTTGATTGTCCATGAAATTCTTGAATGTTCATGTAAAATGTTAGATTTCTTTGGAAGAGAGGACCAAAAGTTACAGTGCAGGTGAATTTTGATAATTAATTTTTGTCCATGACCTCCTGATCCTTTGCAAACGAACATTATTGCAGTTTCTGCACAGTAAGTACCGTATTCGACGTAATAAGCGCCCCTCTCAAATAAGCGCCCACAGCAATATTTGCTGATATATTAGCTAGTGAACAATCCCAATTAGCACCCCTTCTGATTGATCACTGTACACAAGACTTATTAATTCGCGTATAATACACACTCGTGTGTTATATGCACCCTTAATTATGGGCAATTAAATTCTGGAAAAATATATCTGTCGTACATAAACATTTTAGGCTGTCGCCATAAACCACGAAATTCATCTTTCAACTCTGTTTTTTCACCAAAATAATATTCTAATAAGAGCCCCTTATGTCTAATTTTGAGAGCGCCCTTGGCGCTTATTACGCCAAATACGGTACATATTTAATATGAAAGTTACTGATGCAGAGGAATCTGCTCTTTGGAGTATGTTTGTAGTCAGTTCCAGCTGACAGACTTATCTTAGCTGCCGTCTCCGGTTGTTTCATCTCACTGCCACTGAACCCTTCATTTCACGTGTTGGGATCTGTGGACTTAATTAATCAGCAGTTCTGCATGAAAATGCAAGACAGGAATTGTGAAACGACAAGATTATATTTAAAGACACTTTTACACAACACCTTTTATCAGTGTCTATTTGTTGAGCCATAGATGAAATTAAGGTAACAGTTGTGATGTTGACTTTTTTATCTGCTGTTGAAATTTTCACATAAACAACAATAAACCATTCTTTTTACAAAGATGTGTTTGTGGTGATATGGGAGGTAAAGCATATTATCCCCTGCCATGAAGTGGAAGGGGGATATAGGCATGGGTGCTGTCCTTCTGTCCATCACATTTCATTTCTGGAGCAGAGGGGGCACGGGTGGCCCAGTCGTCTAAGGAGCAGCGATTTGCTGTGCAGATTTGCATCCCTTGGGCACGCCAGAAACCTATGATTGTGGGTTCGCCCCGATTATGTTTCTAGGTTTGTCAGCACATTACCAGTGCTCGTGGTTTTCACCGAGGTGGTAAAACGTCAGAGAACTGCATCGCTTCTGGCTTTCCTGCAACATTAAGCTGACACGCCGTGATATAACTGGAATACTGTTAAAAGCAGCGTTAAACCCAACTCTCTCACTCACACTCTGGACAAAATGCAAAAATCATGAGTGATATCTTCACCAAACTTGGCACATAGTGGCAAACTGGTGCCATTTGATAGTTTGGGAAAATTATTTTTCAAGTTTCCATGGCAATGACTGACTGAAAATGGCAGTAGTCATTGCCGGAGCATATCTTGAAAACCATACAATATTTCTTGCCTTGCACACAACCGGACATGTCACATTGGTGGGGGATATGTGTATTTAATTATTATCCCGCGCCCCAACGAAGTTGGCAGGGGATAGAGAAATGGGTTCCGTCTGTGTGTGCGTGCGTGTTTGCGTGCTTGTGTGCATCCCGAAATCGTTTCCAGAGCATAACTCAGAAACCGTTAAATATTTCTCTACGAAACTTTGCATGTCTAACAGACTCATGCTGAACTGGTGCCTTTTGCTATTTAGGAATTTTATAAATTTTTATTTACTTCGTTTCCATGGCAACAAGTTGGACTTAGGTTCTATAGGGTGCTGTTCGTTTCCGGAGCGGAACTCAAAAAACGTTAAATAATTTCTTACAAAACTTTGCATGTTTACCAGACACATACTGAACTGGTGCCTTTTGCTATTTAGGAGTTTTATAATTTTTATTTTTTACGTTTCCATGGCAATAAGTTGGATTTAAGTTTTAATATAGGGTGGGTTCATTTAAGGAGTATAACAAATAAACGGTTAAAAATTTCCTTGTCCAACATTGCATGTCTATATATAAAGCACATACTGAACTGGTGCCATTTGATATTAAGGAGTTTTATAAATGTTTATTTTAGAATTTCCATTGCAGCTATTTTGACATGGCCTAAGAGAAATGTTGGGTCAGTTACCTGGTTTGGGACCATAATGTGTTAAAATGGCGGGGGATATAGATGACTTCGTCGACTATACGCTTGTTGTATTTTGTTTGCTTACAAAACCTGGAAAAAAAATGAAACTAAATGTCATGACAAATATTTTTTAGGACAACCGTTTCACAATTACATGTGGTGCCAAGGACTTGTATGCAATGTATTTTATAGCTATGTGTAGGACCGACTAACCACCATGAGTAATCACTGACAGCTTCTGAAAGTTCTTTACAGGCCAGAGTATTAACCCATATTATCATGATTATCATACCTATCGATGTTCTCTTTGACTTTTGTTGCAAAGTATTTGTTTGAATGTACATGAGGATAACGGAATCTGCTAAAGCTAGTGTCAAACAAACACAATGTCCAACTGAATGAAGACTTGTTCATTGTTTGTTTATTGTTTAACGCCACACTCAGCAATATTCCAGCTATATGATGGTGGTCTGTAAATATTCGAGTCTGGACCAGACAATCCAGTGATGCACATGGTTTTAATTGTGTGCTTTGATTGAATTCCTTTTATGCCGCAACAAACTAGTGCTTCACTGTAGGGTGTCTCAATGTTTTCTTATTTTATCTGGTATTTCTTGCATTTAGACAGTGTCAACAAGAAAGCCCTCCAAAACTTTGTTGATTGAAATGATGTCATCATGTTCGTTTAAAATGGCGATGGAAACTCCTCCCATACCCATTTCCTTCTTCCTTATCTTACCATTTGATTGGTCAGTAAAATGGTAATGAAAATCAAGGGCGGGTAATGAGACTGAGGTGAGGTGAAATTGGGTTTAACGTCGCGTCCAAGATTATTGCACTTATATAGCTACGTGCATGCACGTGTGTGTGTGTGTGTGGCTGCTTGTACTAGTCCGGACTGATGCCGATTTATAGTGCTAGCTCACTGAGATACCATGCCGCAGTTTAACATGAATACCCCACTCAGACACAGTATACTGACTCCGAGCCGACCAGTCCTTGTTTTAGCCCCTTAATGCCGAGCGCCAGACAGGGTAACAACAAGTACAATCTTTTAACGTCTTTTGGTATGACGCGGCCCGGGATCGAACCCTGGACCTCCCGCTCTCCGGGCGGACGCTCTACCACAAGACCACGGAGGCGGTCTAATGAGACTGAGAGAACCATGGGAATTCATCTAGGAGTTAGTGTAGGTTTACCAAAACGTGAGCCCTGGAGATATAGAGGATGCTACTCACTGTAGACAAGTCACATGTCACTCTTCCTCAGATCCCGTCACGATCAAAGTAACAACAAACCAAACGGTTATTTCAAAATAAACCAATTATTTGTAGTTTATTGTACAACCTTGGAAAGTCAGTTAGAATCCACTGTCACACAAACATACAGACCTAGTCAAGACAAGGATATGTATATTTACAATAGTCAGGGTTGGCAAAACAAGACATTTGTGTGTGGAAAGCAGAAGATTGTTTCATAAAGTGCCTCTTCAATCCAATAAGCTGGCTCAGTTTCAAGGAACCCTGCCAATATACTGATGGCATAAAATAAAGGAACATAGTAATCTTGCAACAGAGAGTTGAAAGCTGTGTTCATCCAATTAACCAAACAGACTTTACATCACCAATCTTCAATCATCTGTAATGTCAGTGTCATACAAACAGAATTTCATGTCTACAAATGCTTACATTGCTATCCGTTACCTTATTTCTTGTCATCAGTATATTTCAAGAGAATGAGCAGTGAAACTGGTCGTCACACATGTTTATGTCATACATACACACACTGTATGTCACATGTAACCATATGTCACATGTATTCTGACTGTACACGGGCAAGAAGTTTCAATGTTTGGTTTATATACCAGCCAAAACAATGAAAAAATATCAACAATGTTCGCTGTTATTTGCACCGAATATATATTCACCAGTGTATATAACTTCAACTGAAGACTCCACCCTGTAACAATATCTCTGCATCATACAGGTATATCTAGCTGCCTCTGTTATATTACAGGTTCCTGATATGATTTGGTACAAAACAAAAACACACAATAATGAACAGGACAAGGAGTTCGCTGACACAAGCAGGTTTAATCCCCACATGGGTACAAGCCCATCAATGTGGTTCGTTGTGCACCCCTAGTGAAGTGTATACATAATTGTTAATGAATGAAATCAAATGTGCCCATGTAACATATACCAACTTCACTAAAATATCAATAAGCCATGAAATATTATTAATATTAATATTCATGCAAAATAAAACATGTGAGAAAAATATGATACATCACCCAATCTCATTAAAATCAGACCTTAGTTCTCGCTACCGCTAAACAAAGATCTGAGGACATCCCATTAGGGGTCACGTCAGAACGACCTTTCATCCGACCAATCAGTGCGTCGCTTACCAGATTATGAAAGTGGCAGTAAGAATGCGATTTCTAATCATGCAATCTCGAAAACTTTAACATGGGGTATTCTGAACGATAGTTACGGGTTTAACGACTGAATCCATACAATCTAGACCATCTATTATAGCCATCCAAGAATGTTTTTTTCTTCAGGTTTCAAATTTGTTAACGAGAATGTCAAAATCTGTTTCGAAGCGTAGTTGCCAATTTGAAATTTGTGCCGTAAAGCACGAGAAAGCTGCCTTCTGATTGGTCATTCCATGGGTCGGTCAAAGGTCGCACAAGGTCGGTCTGACGTGACCCATAATGGGATGTCCTCAGATCTTTGTTTAGCGGTAGTGAGAACTAAGATCTGATTGAACATCACCAAGCTTTGAGATATTCCCATAAAGCATAGACAAATCAGTAGATTTGTATCCCTGTAGATTCCTACGACAACAGTCGGTATTAAAGTATTTCCAGAGCTTAACAATTGATAATTGATAATCAATCGTTAAACTGTGTATGTATCAATCTCATTAATATCAGACCTTAGTTCTCGCTACTGCTGAACAAAGATCTGAAGACATCCCATAAGGGGTCACGTCAGAACGACCTTTCATCCGACTAATCAGAGTGTCGCTTACCAGATTATGAAAGTGACAGTCAGAATGTGATTTCTAACTCGAAAACTTAACACGGGGTATTCCGAACGATAGTTACGGGTATAACGACTGAATCCATACAATGTAGATCATCTATTAGCCATTTCAGAATGTTCTTTCGTTCAGTTTTCAAATTTGTAAGCGAGAACTGTTTAAAATATGTTTCAAAGTGTAGTCGCCAATTTGAAATTGGTGCCGTAAAGCATGAGAAAGCTCCCTTCTGATTGGTCAATCCACTGGTTGGTCAAAGTTTGCGCAAGGTCGGTCTGACGTGACCTGTAATGTGATGTCTTCAGATCTTTGTTTAGCAGTAGCGAGAACTGAGATCTGATTTTAATGAGATTGTGTATGTCAGGGTATGAAACCTTCCAAAATTTCAGCTAGACCACAGGACTGGCTAGCTGAAATACTTGCCAGCCCTGACCAAAACCTGCCTGCCCACTATAATCATATGTTTCTCAGGATAAGCTAACAGGGTTTCTTTTTGGTTACATTTTATCATTCATCTTTACATGTGAATTAATGCTTATCATCGGGAAATATTTAGAATATTTTCACATATGAAATATAACCTGACCGTCGGGCAGGGGGATTTGAAAATCTGGCAGCCCGAGTTGAAATCAACCCGTCTCGGACGGTCGGGCAGGCAGGTATTTCGAACACTGGTGTATGTATACACAGATGTTTAGGCACTGAGAAGATTGAGATCCCGCTGTCGGAGAGCCGACACTGCTACAAACGCTGCTCCCTGTCCGCTGCCATCTTTGGCCAGGATAAGTTTGACCTGATAACAAGCAAAACATAATGTAGAATGATGTACAACAGCAACCAACAGCAACAGCAGCATCAACTAGTCGGAAGTGAGTGAGTTGGGTTTCAGCAACACATGCTTGTCGTAAGATGTGACTAATGAGATCAGATGTTCATCGCCACTGTGGAGATCAATGTTCATTTACAGACCACTGTCATATATAGGTGGAATAATGCTGAGTGTGGCGTTCAACAGCAAACACCGCTTTTAACTGTATTCCAGTTATATCACGGTGTGTCAGCTTAATGTGGGAGGAAAGCCTGAAGTGATGCAGGTCTCGGACATTTACCTCTTGGGGGTGGCAGGCATTTATTTTTCATAGTTAAAATTTTTAGGCTAAAAAAAATAATAATTTTGGTTCTAAGGCACACCTGCATCATCATAAAGTTCACCGCATGTTTCATTTTTATTTCCATTTTTAAAAAAAACAAACCAAAAAATCCTCAAATATTCTAAGTCCAACGGTTATCAAATACTGTATTCCAGTACTTTACTCATTAAGGAATACATTAACATAGGGAGGCCCTTTCCCAGGTTGATTGTACACAACTGTTTATTCAGTTACACATCTGTTTACTTGTTTACATACTAGTTTGAACAACAACTAAAACAAAACAAAAGACACCGCCTGCTTGCACAATATTTTCAAAAGTCATTGCCTAAGAACCACGCTCACACACACACACAAGATATATGCCTCTAAATATTTCAAAGGAATACTGGGCTATTTCATTCTGTTATGTAACTAGAAGACAGCAGCAGTGTACTTGAACTGCATACTTACTTTGATTAACTTTAACTGAAGCTGAACAGTATCTAGTGGCATGTCAACATGGGACACTATTTGTATGACACCCTCTCCAGGCATCAAAACTCACACTTTCAGGTCCCACACTCTGTATATACATATTAAAGGTTGTTGTTTGTTTGTTGTTTAATGCCGCACTCAGCAATATTCCAGCTATATGACGGCGGTCTGTAAATAATCGAGTCTGGACCAGACAATCCAGTGATTAATATCATGAGCATCGATCCACGCAATTGGGATCGATGGCATGCATCAACCAAGTCAGGGAGCCTGACCATCCGATCCCGTAAGTCGCCTTTTACGACAAGCAGAGTCACCTTTTACGGCAAGCATGGGTTGCTGAAGACCTATTCTACCCCGGAATCTTCACTGATCTATTAAAGTTTGAGTAGAATACTATGAATACATAACACTGAAAGGGTCATATTCAGCACACCATTTACCACTTACCCAGGTATTTTGGCGTATACAAAAATCTACCCCCACAGTCTCACATCTACCCCTGTGCACTTAAATGTACCCGGCAATAACTTTATTATTGATTTTTATTACATTAAATTCTGGTTCCATTCAAGACTAATTTACACAGACAAAGTCCATGCAATACTGATGTTTTTTTGTTTGTTGTTTAACACCACACTCAGCAATATTCCAGCTATATACCTGCGGTCTGGAAATAATCAAGTCTGAACCAAACAATCCAGTGATTGACTTCATGAGCATCGATCCACGCAATTGGAATACGATGACATGCATCAACCAAGTCAGCTAGCCTGACCACTCAATCCTGTTAATCGCCTCTGGCGACAAGCATAGTCACCTTTTACGACAAGCAGGGAGGGCTGCATGAAGACCAATTCTACCCCGGGTCTTGACACAAGTGAAGCCAGACCAGCAGGCGCCAGGTTGTGAATCTACCTACCTTGCTCTGCGGGGCTAGTTTCTCCAGCAGGTCTGTCATGTCAGGATGGAATGTTGGGTGATGTTCATAGACGGACCCATCGATGGCGACCGTCACCTCTGGGAGATTCACGTGACGTACACACACGGCTAGAGCTGCAGACAGTACACCACTCATGACAATAACATTGATTTTATCGAAAACAAATTGTTACTGAAAATTTTGGAAACAATTGCCTGCCACAAAAACTACATTGTTGCAAGGTGTTTTTCATGAAAAACAATTCAGACGCAGAGTCTTAAATAAAAAATAATCTGGTTTTGTAGTTGTAGCTGACAAAATATCTGATCTCGATACAAAATCCAACCCCTCTTAAAAAAACATCAGATCTTCGGTCATTAAGTCATGCTGCCACCGGGGCGGTCAGGTAGCCTAGTGGTTAAAGCATTCGCTCGTCACGCCAAAGACCCAATGTGTGAAGCCCATTTCTGGTGTCCCCCACCATGATTTTGCTGGAATATTGCTAAAAGCGGCGTAAAACCATACTCACTCACTCATGCTACCACCATGCTTATTGTCTAAATTGAACGATGGCCTCAAATTATGTAATACTGGACTCCTATCTAAGTCTGACCTGATGCGACGATGTAAGCCCCTCTCTTGGACATGAAGAGAGCAACCTGTCGTATCATCTCTACATCCTCATCACTGGCCTTGTCATTCAGCTCCATCCTGCCCAGAACATCCCTGGTGTTCTTCCCGACACCTTCCTTATCACTGAAATCAACGTTACCATGGAAACATAATTTGTGGAATAATGGATTTTAATAATGGATGAAGGAAAATTAATACACTCATATATTTTTCACAAAAAGTGAAAATTCTGTCATGTCCCGTAAGTAAAAATGAGGTTTTAAAATGTATAAATTTCAAATTACTGGAACAGTTATCAATTTTTCTCAGTCCATGTCCAAGTTTATGAACAGAAATTTAGTGCACAGACAAACAACATTGTTTACAGAACATCGTCACCTTTCCTCAACACATCACATCCAGGTTTGTACATAAAAGTATAACATGCTTACAACAAGAACGTTATTCAGAATATCATTCCCATGCTGAAATGTCCATTCACCTCCATTGCAGGAAGTGGTCCGCAGCAAATATGACAAAATGGCAGAATTCAATTGTTGCAAATAAAGTCAGCATCATTTCCATTGGAACAATGGGCTATATTTTTTAGAACCTGAGTTCAAGCATCATATACCAAGAAGCTCATGCATAATATAACTGCAAATCATGTTTATCATCCAAAACTGGCTCCCACAGGAGATATCAATTGGGTGAGATCAAGCGATATCTACATTGTAGATATCGCTGCAATGAAATTGCATCAAAATGCTTTGCAGACCATTGTGACATCATTGGTTACCATAACGTCACAATCAAATGACATCACTAATGGCTCTGCTACTGATGCTGTTAGCAGTACTTTTTACACTTAAGACACTGCTTATTACTGTCTACAAAATGAAAAAGTGGGAAGAATGATGTTGGATAATAAATAAAATCTCACCCTGTGTCTTTTGATATCAAATAAAACAACATGAGTTGATAAAAGTGGAAAAACTCCTCGGCAAGCCTTGGAGATTTTCCAGTTTTATCACTTTTGTCAAAAGACACTCGGGTGAGATTCTCTATGTACTAATTTTCAAAAGTGGGATGTGTCCGCTTGTCCTTTGGCATGTAAACTGTACAGGTACGAATAACAGCATAATCTATGTTAAAACTACCTGTCTAGGTGTATATAGAAACAATACTATTCAACTGTGTTGTGTGTGAAATTGTATCGCAAACAGGGTTTCACTGTATTTCTTGTTGGTTTTTAGTTATATATGACTTGCTCACAGGGAACCAAATGGGAATATTTACCTGCCCGCCAGCCCTATGCACCAAGGGGTGCATGGTACTTGTACACTCTGCAAAGCAAGTCCTCAATGGCATGATACAATGTACTTGGGTGGCCCAATTACAGAACTGGCTGCCATTTTGCTTTCATGTTCTGAACACAATAGAGGAAGACTGACAGTAATTTATTGGGACATATACTAGGCACGTAAAGAAACTGTGCATGTAATTTTATGCACAATTTCCTTTGGTGCCTGGTATATATGCCCCAATAAAAAAGTGCCTAGAATAATTTTGGGGTTATAGCTAAAACAGCACCTCAACAAAACGTCCCCTGGCGAAAACGGCAACGATTGGCAAAAACGTCACCTGGCCTCAAGCGAAAACAGCTACTATTGCCTAACAAAAACAGCACCTTATTTTATTTTTTACCTTGGTAAAATAAATGAAATTAAACTTTCATGGTCACTTGCAAACGCCAAAAATTGTGAAATGTTAAAACAAGTTTACATTAGAAATTAGCCCCCTACTCCAATTTACTCGCCAACTCTGATTGGGAGGCGCAACTAACTGATTGTGAAAACATTATATGCTTTGAAGTTTTAAGTGCCTTAAAATTTACTCAATTTAACTCAATGTCAAATTATAGAGAAATTAGCCGGACTGAAGAAGACTTCCTTTTCCACTGTTTGAGATGCGTAGATCCCATAATTGAAGAGGTGATCGGTAACTTAGATGTCAGTTTCCAATCAGAAGATGCAGAAGAAATGAGGGTACCAGACCTATCAGAAATCCACCTTACGGCTTCAGATGTACTCTTAGAAGACGAAGATGACCGTGACAGGATAAAACATTTGTACGCAAATTATACTTTTTACTTTCCACTCAAGGCTTACAAAGCTACGTCCCATCCATCTGTGTAAATCTGTGCAGACCATTGTGGTAACCAATGACGTTACCTTAAAACTCACCAAACGATCTTTGTGACATCTGTAGTTGTAAAATTCCATCGCTCCAATATCTGTGTTGAGGTAGCGCCCCCTAACAATAGTTTCTGATCAATCAACTTGACGAGTACCAGCCTCACAAGCTCTCCTAGATAGTGGCCAGAGAATGACTTCTCAAATCTGAAACAAAGGGAGACGACTCTTATCCTGGCCAACACCTCTATGAAGTACCATCTTCTAAAAAACATTACATTTAAGTTTACATAATACCACCAAGGTTTCTCATGATTTGTTTGGTCTCCAGTACCCAAAACAAACTGTACGAACTGAAAACAGAGGATCGAGTAGATATAGTGTGACCTGGCAGATAGCGTCCTCATGCCGCCAAGCATACATTGTGTGTGTCACAGGTGTGTTTTGTGTACATCTCAGTGTTCCCCCTGGCTTTTGAAAATCTACATATATAAAGTCCCCCCAAATTTGTGTCAGTACCAACTTTCAACAAATAAAAAAAACATATGTAAATTACCTGGTTCTAATTCTTTCAATATCATGTTTAATGAAATAATATATGGGGGTGGTCGGGAAGCCCAGTGGTTAAAGCGTTCGCTCGTTACGCCGAAGACACGGGTTCGATTCCCACATGGGTACAATGTGTGAAGCCCATTTCTGGTGTCCCCCGCCGTGATATTGCTGGAATATTGCTAAAAGTGGCGTAAAACCATATTCACTCACTCACTTTAAAGAAATGACGTCATCTCTGAAGTAACTTTGTTTGATCTACGCTTCATACACACAAAGTTCAGTCACAAAGTTCTCTCTTTTTTTTAATATTTCGAGACTAAGTCGCTACAAATAGATTTTTAACCTTGAAGCAAAGCGAAATGTTATTTCTTTGCACTAAAAATAGACGAGGGGAAACCCAGATGGCAACAGACAAGCTGATTTTGTTCAAAAATTACACATATATGAATATTGTGATGTTTTGTTCAACACCAAAGATTTATAAGGTACTTCCCTGTCCACAGGGACTGGCAGTCACATTAATTACCGGTCCAAGCCTAATTTTACCGGTAAGAAACTGGTAATTACCGGTAAACGGTAACACTGACACCTGACCCACATGTGTTAAAGCTGACATCTGATTGGCTCAAAAAGCCCTGTATCCTTCATTCAGATTTTGCGGTCCAAGTGTTCTCAGTGTTCACCTGAAGACCTCTATGGAAGGCTAGTGTTCACAAAGAGGGATCACATTGGAGTAGATCTGATGTTAATTAAATTCATTGTAAGCTAACTTACGTGAACGAGTTGGGATGATTAGAGTGCTTGTCCACCTCCTTCTCAAACTCACTCCGGTAGAAGTCCAATGATCCTCCGTCGCCTAGTGAACCATTTTCTATATTCACCAGGACCTGCAACATCAACAACGTTTCACTCATTTTACTGTGTGTCTCTTGCTTAATGCTGCAATGCAATATTCCAACTATAAAGCAGCTTGTAAATAATCAAGTTTGTTTGTTTGTTTATTGTTTTACGCCGCTCTCAGCAATATTCCAACTATAAAGCGGCTTGTAAATAATCAAGACTGGACCTGACAATCCAGTGATTGTTAATGTGGACTATGACCCATGCTGTTTGGGTATGAAGACATGCAATCCACCAAGTCCCCAAACCAATCCATTTGGTCACCTGTTACGATCAGGACAGGCAGCTTGGGATTATCTTGTTTACCACTTCTCCGATAACTGTGTTCCCATTCATGCACAGCCACATTGTCCTATTAATGAGTTGTTTTCACTGTCAGTACTATGATAAATACAAGTCCACGTCAATAAGGTTCACGAACTGAATCATGAATGTTTTTATGAGTTCAACAGTAGCTCCGAGCTGACATCCACAACTCGATAGCATTGTTTGTTGTTGAAAGCATTATTTCCCACTAAACAACTTTAAAGCCCTAGGGAAATACCTAATTAAAACAGATCTTATTAACCGAATATAACCCCCAAATAATCAAAACAACTCACCCACGGCCAACACTCACACCTCACTTACTCTCTCTGCCCCCACCCCCACCCTCTTGGCATTCATTCCAAATCTCCAAATTTAAAAACTCCTATATAAGCTACCCCTAAACCCCCCTCCTGGGTTGCACAAATCCCTTCCTTCATATTTTTTGGCAAATACATTAAATGCCCTGGCGGGCCCGTGTGCAACATACACTTGCAGTCGGAGAGCGCATGTAAAATCCCCAACCTCAGTTAGTCAGTCAGCATTTACATCTACTTTGGACCTTAAAGGTAGCGTTGTAACTTGTAGCAAGGAATCACTGTACTTCAAACATTTTAAATGATGATAAATAAAGATGAATGTGGTCAAGGCCAAAAAAGTATCTACTCAAGTGGGTTTTTTTTAAGGCATCCTGCATCCACATTGACACAGATTCCCTTTTAGTGTTCGTATGTACCAAGTGTACAGATAATAGTTATTTATCGTATTTAACGTAATAAGCGCCCAGGGCGCTCTCAAAATTAGTGGGCTCTTATTAGATTATCATTTTGGTGAAAAAATAGAGTTGAAAGATAAATTTCGTGGTTTATGCTGACAGCCTGAAATGTTTATATACAAGAGATATATTTTTCAAGAATTTTATTGCCCATAATTAAGGGTGCATATAACACACGAGTGCATATCATACGCGAATAAATAAGTCTTGTGTACATTGATCAATCAGAAGGGGTGCTAATTGGGATTGTTCACTAGCCAATATATTAGCAAATATCCCTGTGGGCCCTTATTAGAGCGGGGCGCTTATTACGTCAAATACAATGAGGTCCTCCAATTGCCCCATCGCTGGTCAAAAGCCCAGTTTGTTGTGTCACTAACACTATACTAATTGACATCTGGTGATTACACAGGCTAATTAAAACAGAGCTGATGAGCTGTTGTTTCCCTTTACAAATTATGAGGATTCTTTGACTTGACTAAGTACTGTTTAGTCTTAGAGGGACAAAAGCAAGTTAATATAATTTTGCTATTTCCACTATCAGTAGTACCAAGGATGTGGATGTTGCTTGTCGTAAGAGGCGACTAATGGGATCGGGTTGTCAGGCTCGCTGACTTGGTTGACACATGTCACCATATCCCGATTGTGTAGGTTGATGCTCATGATGTCAATCACTGGATTGTCTGGTTCTGCAACTTACATGTGTGGGTTCCTTATTGTCTCCTGTCCACTTCTCTATGTTCCTTACATGCTCCACAAACGCGATGTTAAACCCTGTACCTGGAACATAACAATAGAACCCTCCGTCACACACCTGACAGAACACCCAGTCGCACACCTGACAGAACACCCAGTCACAGACACCTGACAGAACACCCAGTCACACACACCTGACAGAACACCCAGTCACACACCTGACAGAACACCCAGTCACACACCTGACAGAACACCCAGTCACACACCTGACAGAACACCCAGTCACACACCTGACAGAACACCCAGTCACACACCTGACAGAACACCCAGTCACACACCTGACAGAACACCCAGTCGCACACCTGACAGAACACCCAGTCACACACCTGACAGAACACCCAGTCACACACCTGACAGAACACCCAGTCACACACCTGACAGAACACCCAGTCACACACCTGACATAACACACAGTCACACACCTGACATAACACCCAGTCACACACCTGACAGAACACCCAGTCACACACCTGACAGAACACCAAGTCACACACCTGACAGAACACCCAGTCACACACCTGACAGAACACCCAGTCACACACCTGACAGAACACCCAGTCACAGACACCTGACTGAACACCCAGTCACAGACACCTGACAGAACACCCAGTCACACACCTGACAGAACACACAGTCACACACTTGACAGAACACCCAGTCACAGACACCTGACAGAACACACAGTCACACACCTGACAGAACACCCAGTCACACACCTGACAGAACACCCAGTCACACACCTGACAGAACACCCAGTCACACACCTGACAGAACACCCAGTCACACACCTGACAGAACACCCAGTCACACACCTGACAGAACACCCAGTCACACACCTGACAGAACATCCAGTCACACACCTGACAGAACACCCAGTCACACACCTGACAGAACACCCAGTCACACACCTGACAGAACACCCAGTCACACACCTGACAGAACATCCAGTCACATACACCTGACAGAACACCCAGTCACACACCTGACAGAAAACCCAGTCACAGACACCTGACAGAACACCCAGTCACACACCTGACAGAACACCCAGTCACACACCTGACAGAACATCCAGTCACATACACCTGACAGAACACCCAGTCACACACCTAACAGAAAACCCAGTCACAGACACCTGACAGAACACCCAGTCACAGACACCTGACTGAACACCTGGGCATGTGACAGCTTAATCTTGATTTAACAGAGGCCTTGACATCTGTGTAACAAATCTATAGACAAATCTCTAACAGGAAGCCATCGTGTGAGCTCACCGAGTATTAGTCCTATACGACACTTTTTGTCCAGATAGTTTCCGGCCATCAGTGTGCTGGTGGTGTCACTCATGACTGCAACAACATCGACTGGCAGCCCCTGCAACACAGAACAGTGGGGTCACTCATGACTGCAACAACATCGACTGGCAGCCCCTGCAACATAGAATAATGGGGTCACTCCTCATTGACTGTGGACATGTTGTTATATGGGATCCGTGTGAAGCTCTTTGGCAGTTGGGTTGGGACAGGTAACTGGGGTTTTCGTTTTGGGTGGGTACTGAGTAGGACCCGGATACCCACAGGACTACCTGGACCCATGGTTAGTCTCATGATATCATTTAATGAGAAAAATTATCCACTACAACTCTATGGTAACCTACAAATTCCTTCTGACTTTTATATGTTTTGAGTAAACATAGAGCTTCAGTCAACTTCAGTGTCTGCATGAACAGATCGTTTTACAGACGTACCTAAATACCTTTTTGCCAAGAGTCCAGTAAAACAACTCCAAATCAGACATTTTGTACCCAACTCTTGACGCTACAGTGGGTATCCGGGTAAGGTCAAGTAATAGGGGGTCTGGTACCCAGGATGGGTCAGGTAAGAGGGGGTCGGGTACCCGGGTAGTAAATCTGGACTCATCCCAGCCCTACTTGGTAGGCAAGATCAGCTCACCGGTGTCTCCTTCTGTATGGCCTGCTCCAGCATCTGTACCGGGTCCCTCCCAGGTCCATCCGGGTTCTTGAAGGTCTTCGTCCAGGTCAGCAGCTTGCTCCTGTTCAGGGCGTATTGTTCCGTGGGGAAGGAAAAGGTGAACCCTGGAGACAGAGTAACACTCAAGGTCATGAAAACATTTCTTGAAAGAACAAGAAAACAGCATTACAGAAAACTAAGGTTATAACGAACTCAAAGGGACTACTAATTTTAGTTGGGACTAAAAAGTTAGTTCGTTATATCCGTTATAATCGTGTTCTTTATAACCGTAGTTTACTATATATCACAATCCCCCAGCATCAGGCACATTAGAAATTTGTTTGTTCATATACAGTAAACTATGGTTAAAACGAACTCAAAGAGATCACTAATTATAATTTGAAATAACTATTGTTCGGTATAAGCATATACACAGCATATATACAACAAATGGCCAGGACTAAAAAGTAAGTTTGTTATATCGGTAAGTTCGATATAAGCATGTTCGTTATAAACACAGCTTCCTTTAGTAGTGAATATACATGGAGAAAGGGAGGTAACTCTAGAGAAAAAGATTGTGGGGTCAATGTTTCAACTCAGTCTTGACAGGTATCTCTTCGGTAAGCATGCACAGTTTCATTCATGTAAATTGAGTAGTTTCTGAAAAAGCTTTTTGGGGGGACACACCATAAATGGGTTTCATTCATTGTACCCATTTCGGGATTTCGGGACAAGCAAACACTTGAACCACTAGGCTACCCGACCGCCCCTTTCAGAGTAGAATGGTGACCACAAAAAGATCTCAGCGCTATAATAACTCTACCCTTAAATTTACAGAACACTTTAACCACAAGGCTACCCAACCGCCCCTTTCAGAGTAGAATGGTGACCACAAAAAGATCTCAGCGCTATAATAACTCGACCCTTAAATTTACAGAACACTTTAACCACTAGGCTACCCGACCGGCCCTTTCAGAGTGGAATGGTGACCACAAAAAGATCTCAGCGCTATAATAACTCTACCCTTAAATTTACAGAACACTTTAACCACAAGGCTACCCAACCGCCCCTTTCAGAGTAGAATGGTGACCACAAAAAGATCTCAGCGCTATAATAACTCGACCCTTAAATTTACAGAACACTTTAACCACTAGGCTACCCGACCGCCCCTTTCAGAGTAGAATGGTGACCACAAAAAGATCTCAGCACTATAATAGCTCGACCCTTAAATTTACAGAACACTTTAACCACTAGGCTACCCGACCGCCCCTTTCAGTGTGGAATGGTGACCACAAAAAGATCTCAGCGCTATAATAACTCTACCCTTAAATTTACAGAACACTTTAACCACTAGGCTACCCGACCGCCCCTTTCAGTGTGGAATGGTGACCACAAAAAGATCTCAGCGCTATAATAACTCGACCCTTAAATTTACAGAACACTTTAACCACTAGGCTACCCGACCGCCCCTTTCAGAGTAGAATGGTGACCACAAAAAGATCTCAGCGCTATAATAACTCGACCCTTAAATTTACAACAGTAACACATGGGAATTGTGTTCGGGACACAATAGCTAAAAAAGTCCATATAGTAACAACATATGTCAGTTTTGAACTAATAAATCTACCAAGTGCCACATAGGTTAGTTATTGTGAATTACATTATCGGCTGACTGAGGCGATACCTTCATCATGCTCATTGCTTCACTGAGTGGTGAAAATGTGGTTTGGGATAAAAAATGTAAAGATTGTACACTTCAATTAATGATGTATAATGAATCGTGTAAGAGCTATTGGTTCAAGACTATAAAGTGCAGGCTCAGGGGTTTGAGAGTATATAGCTCTCTCTACTATACAGTAAACGAGGGTTATAACGAACACAAAGGGACTACAAACTTGAGTTCGTTATAACCGTAGTTTCGTTATAAGCAGATATACAGTATATATATCGCTAATGATTGGGACAAAAAAAATAAGTTTGTCATATCCGTCAGTTCGTTATAAGCGTGTTCGTTATAAACACAGTTTACTATATATAGAGATGCATGCCTGATTACGTCACACGGCTGCCATGTTTAAAGTGTGAACACTAACTCGATGTGTGTGAGAAGTCAAGGGGAATAAACTATGTTTATTCAAGACATGTTTCTGTTCATTATGAAGAATTGAGATACATGATGTTAATCAAAATGTCACATCAGCAGAAACGCTCATGTCTAAATGTTTGAAGACAAAGACTGGAAGTAACAGAGTGAGTGAGTTGGGTTTAACGCCACTTTTAACAGTATTCCAGTTATATCGCGGCGTGTCAGCTTAATGTGGGAGAAAAGCCCGAAGTGATGCAGGTCTCAGACGTTTACCTCTTCGGTGAAACCCACAAGCACAGGTATGGTACTGACAAACCTAGAAACATAATCGGGGCGAACCGGGATTCGAACCCATAATCTTAGGTTTCTGGCGTGCCCAAGGGACGCAACTCTGCACAGCGAATCGCGGCGCCTTAGACGACTAGGCCACAGGAGGGATATCTATTAGTTCTGCTTGTCAGTATTACCTAAAGGAATTTTGTCTGTTGAAGATGCCAAACCTTCCTTCTCCAGGAAATCTTTGATGCTGATGGCGATAAATTCAAATACCTGCAACAGAAAAATCAACCTGATGATGTTTCAATGAGACAGATCTAAACCAGTGGTAGTTACTCTATCAAGGCTACACCTTGTGAAGATCCTGGTCAGAATAGGTCTTCAACAACCAATACTTGTCGTAAGAGGTGACTAACAGGATCGGGTGGTCAGGTTTGCTGACTTGGTTGAGGCATTGTATCCTAATTGTATTGATCGATGCTTATTATGTCAATCACTGGATTGTCTAGTCCAGACTCGATTATTTACAGCCCATATAGCTGGAATATTGCTGAGTGCGGCATTAAACAACAAACAAACAAACAAACAAATATTAAGGTCACACCCTTTAAACGCATGGTTTTCAGCATGGGTGGATAAAAAGCAGCTAATATATACACTTTTGTCAGGGACCCTTTATCTTATTGAATTCACTTCCATCAGAGTCTCTTTTCTTGTCAGAGGCACACTATTTACTATGCACTTCATCAGATATTTGAGAACAAAGTTGAATTTTGTAATATTTATTTTTCTTATCAATCAAAACAATAGTTTTGGTATGTTTTTCATTTAATTTAGAAGGAGACTTTTAGTTGTGGTCAGTTGATTTAGAAACAAGAATACTGTAACTTGTATAAAATGGTGTCTGCTATTATTAATATTCAAAGTTCTCAAACCTTTTGTCCGAGAAAACTGTGAGGATTGTGAGAATATGTGGAAAATACCAAACATAACCCACCTGTCCGTAAAATGGACTTGTCCAACATTTCCGAGGAAGGATACTATTCAGGGAGTCATCATTATTAAAATTTGGGTAAATATTTTTAAATGTACATTTTATCAACATCCTTAAAGAGGCTGTACATAATGTTAATATCTCATATAAGAAATAAATGAATGGTGGTCGTATATTTCTAATCAATTGATACATAAGATGTCTAACATTTGTTTTATGGTACATAATAATAATAATAATAATAATAATTGATTTGTAAAGCGCCTAATATCCATCGACAGTTGCTCACTGGCGCTGTGACAAGGTTAAAAATTAATATCTATGTACATATGCCAACAATCAGGAGATCTATTGAAAAGCTGAGGTGAAGAAGTGGGTTTTGAGGAGAGACTTAAATGTTTCCTTAGAAGCAGAGTTTCTCAGATTCAAAGGCAAAGCGTGTGGAATCTTTGTATTCACCCAAACTGAGCAGATGGGTAAAAATCATCACTTACCGTAATCGACGTAATAAGCGCCCCGCTCTTATAAGCACCCACAGTGATATTTGCTAATATATTGGCTAGTGAACAATCCTAATTAGCGCCCCTTCCGATTGATCAATGTACACTTATTTATTCGTGTATAATACGCACTCGTGTGTTATATGCACCCTTAATTATGGGCAATTAAATTCTGTAAAAATATATCTGTCGTGTATAATACGCACAGACCTTCTTTTGTATCATTTCAGGCTTTCAGCATAAACCACGAAATTTACGATCTTTCAAGAGCCCCCTATTTCTAATTTTGAGAGCGCCCTGGGCACTTATTACTTGGAATACGGTAATTTATTTCCATGATTTGTGATCGTAAAAAGCATTGCTTACTCTGTCACAGGGTCCACTCCGGACTTCATCGGTCAAAGTGTAGTAGCTGGTCGTGGTTGATGCCTCACCGTTCGTGAATATAACTTTCACCACGCGGAAGTTGGACCCGCCTAGATCTAGGCCTAAGTAGGTGCCATTTTCTGAAATAGAAATTTGCAAAGTCAGACATAATTTCAGATAATTATAGGATATTCAACAAGCTTCTCATTTTTTTTCAACTTTCTAGTTTGTGTCTAGTTTTTACTCGTCCCAAGGATTTACGTGAAACATTGGCTATGCTGTCAGTGGCGAACGGCATGACAGTGACACTGTGAGGAGCTTGGGAAAATGTGTCTGCACACGAAAATACCATCACAATACATCATGATACATGACACAGGTATATGAATGAATGAGGGTGGATGTGTGTGTCAAAGTAAAAGTCTTAGGTATCCAGTGTAGCTGACATACTGCAAAACTTGAAAGTAACGGGAGCGTGAATCAAATGCGAAAATGTGAGTGGTCTTTGCTCGCATTAAAGAAACTTCGCATTTATGTCTCCAAAATGACTATCAACAATAAGACGGCCTCACTGCACACTGTGGATAGCGGAAATACCAACTTGATTATAAACACAAACACGGTTTATTAAGCAGCAGTTGTGATAAGTATATACCAATTTCATTCAAAGAAGAGAAATTACGGTGTCCTCCCATTAGTTAGACGTCCCAATAGTTAGACAGCTTATAACAACACTTTAAACGGTTGAGTGCACACTAACCCTTATGCTTGTTACCTCAGACTTTAAAATGGAATAGTCTAGATAAGATCTGACAAACAAAGCAAAGCAGCTTTAAATAGATACTTTAATATTATACTTAACATTTAATGACACTTTACATTTGATAAATTATATACAGTTTGGTGAAATGATGGCATCGCTGGGATGCTGGCTTCATCTACTTGAGTGACTTGCTCCTCTAGAACAGAACAGAACTTTATTACGCTCAGCCCGAGATCCTCGGCATAGGAGGTACAAACTGACAGCAAAATACACATTATAATTGCGGATTGTGGTTAGCCGGAAGATTTTACAATTTGCATTACATATTTACAGAATATCAAGGTTTTTTAATACAGATATCTCTTTACAAGTGAAAAGTCTTTGAAATTTAATCATATTAGGTCTTTTAGAATATGTAGGTGGGATATACAAAATTCTTTCTTTAGTAAAATATGGACATTTAAAAATATAGTGAAATTCATCTCCAATATCAATAAAACGCAGTTTACATTTTCTTTCACAAATAGGTATCCCATTCCATCTTCCTTTTTCAATTGGTAAGTGGTGGCATGAAGTACGAAATAAAAGTAGAGGGATAGCTTTATTTAGGGGTAGGGACGTCAGATAATTTTCTAATTCAAATTGTGGTTTCAAGAGAGAATAGACTACACTTTCCTCGTGCAATGCCTGCATCTGTGTGGTTTCTTCTCGCGCTCTTTTACGAAGATTGCTGACAAAGTTCACTCTGGTTTCATCTTCAGGCGGATGGTTATGTTCCGACTGATTGCAAAGAAAGTCACCGACAGTCGTACATTTCCCATTGCACGTCTTGACGACACATCTCGAATGTGAGCAGGTTTGCCTCTCGCGGTTTCTGTTGTAAATATATCCATCTAATATCAACTGCTCACTTCCACGCCGAGAGATGATATACTCTACTTTCCTTAAACCATCCATATCGATACTGATAATGATACGTACCCCAAGATCATTTTTATTTGTTTGATGAGTACGTAATCTAAACTCAACTCCTTCAACTGATCATACAGTAAGACAATTAAGCTACTCCATAGTTTACACAGTTAATCTCATGCCTATTGAACCTGTGCTGAGAGTAAGGTAATTTAGGTTAATTAAACGAAATTATAACATTTATACTCCCTAAACTGTGAGTCCCCTATCCCTACTCAGTACTTTAATCTAATTAGGACTGATCCATTACACCTGTAGGTATATTCCCTCTTTGCCTAAATAGAAATGTCTAACAATTGGGACGTCTAACTAATGGGACGTCTAACTAATGGGATATAACCGAAATTACACAAAAGGCATCGGGTGAGTTATCACTGCTGGGGTCAAGGCTTCTACCCACTCGTGTCAAACTAGGCATCATTGACCACTCCAACATCCAGACAGACGCCACCATGCAACACCTCATCAAAGGCTGACATGACCCGACGGGCACCGATAGGCTTCATCACACTCCTCAGATCTACAGCCTTTGTCTTGTCATCTGCCTTCAAGTTTGGTGACACCTTCTCCGCATACCAATCAGTGAACTGTTGTTGGTGCAATTATTTTATTGCCTTTGAACTTCCTTAATGCCAAGTCAACAGAATAAATTGTGTGTTGTTTCTAGGAAAACACTGTATATTGTTTTTACGGAAGTGCTCTACTCAGTGCTAATAAGCGATGGTGTTTGCTGTTTGATTGGATTAAGGTAAGGATATGCATCATTCCACTGGGGATGGGGTGGGGGGAGTTGCATTGATAATGAGTTGCATTTTTGGCCAGGGGTCAGCAGTCGTATTAATCTGGAGAAGCATTAATTCAAGATTCACAGTATGTCTTTATCGTGCACGGACAAGAATGCGAGATAAGAGCGTACCCTTCCCGTCCAGCAAGCATCGGACATGAGTGTTGGCCATGAGGACGTCCGACTTGTCGCGCACACTGCGGTCAGGGCTGTTGGCCAGTTTGATGTGGTCCTCCATGCCAGCCATGATTCTCTCGATCACCTCCCGCGGCAGCACCAGGGGCTGCAGAAACTCCCCCAGCTGACCACAAAAATATCACAGTGATATACTTTAAGGCAAAAGTAAGGGATTATGTTTTTATTCTATAGGTATCATACTGTGATTATAGTCGCCTCTTACGACAAGCATAGTCGCCCTTTACAGCAGGAATGGGTTGCTGAAGACCTATTCTACCCCAGGTCTTCACGGGTCATTGTGATTTTAAGAAGCACATAACTCACTTTACCAGAACCCATCAATGACATTAGGCATTTTGCCTGTGTGATGGAGCCAACATGGATCAGTCATATCACAGGGGGTGTAATAATAAAATCCATATTACACCCCCTCCTGGGCAGATATGGCTTGTCAATGCATTACAAATGGGCAATAGATATCAGCCTGGATGGTAAGGAATGAGAGTTACGTCCCTTAGTGTGTCGTCTGCTCGGCTAACGTTTAATTTCAATGTCTTCCAAACAAGGGGAAAATGCATTGCATTCACTTGCAAATAGATATATTTTACAGTTTGATGTTATGGTATATAATATAAGGGTTATTATATGGCAGTTTTCATATCATACCCCACACAAACCCCTGACCACCGTATCAGGCCGCTGTCCTCATGGTCCTCAGGCTGAAATGAGAGTCGAGGGATGATATTGGGGGTTGAGGGATGATATGGGGGGTTGAGGGATGATATGGGGGGTTGAGGGATGATATGGGGGTTGAGGGATGATATGGGGGGTTGAGGGATGATATGGGGGTAGAGGGATGATATGGGGTGTTGAGGGATGATAGGGGGGTCAAGGTTTGATATGGGGGTTGAGGGATGATATGGGGGGTTGAGGGATGATATGGGGGTAGAGGGATGATATGGGGGTAGAGGGATGATATGGGGGTCAAGGGTTGATATGGGGGTTGAGGGATGATATGGGGGGTTGAGGGATGATATGGGGGTAGAGGGATGATATGGGGGTAGAGGGATGATATGGGGGTCAAGGGTTGATATGGGGGTTGAGGGATGATATGGGGGTTGAGGGATGATATGGGGGGTTGAGGGATGATATGGGGGTAGAGGGATGATATGGGGGTAGAGGGATGATATGGGGGTCAAGGGTTGATATGGGGGTTGAGGGATGATATGGGGGTCAAGGGATGATATGGGGGTTGAGGGTTGATATGGGGGGTTGAGGGATGATAGGGGGTCAAGGGTTGATATGGGGGTTGAGGGATGATATGGGGTCAAGGGTTGATATGGGGGTTGAGGGATGATATGGGGGTCAAGGGATGATATGGGGGTTGAGGGTTGATATGGGGGGTTGAGGGATGATAGGGGGTCAAGGTTTGATATGGGGGTTGAGGGATGATATGGGGGTCAAGGGATGATATGGGGGTTGAGGGATGATATGGGGGTCGAGGGATGATATGGGGGTGATATGGGGGTCGAGGGTTGATATGGGGGTCAAGGGTTGATATGGGGGTCGAGGGTTGATATGGGGGTTGAGGGATGATATGGGGGTCGGGGTTGATATGGGGTTCAAGGGATGATATGGGGGTTGAGGGTTGATATGGGGGTCGAGGATGATATGGGGGTCGAGGGATGATATGGGGGTCAAGGGATATGGGGGTTGGGGGTTGATATGGGGGTCAGGGGCTGATATGGGGGTTCGGGTTGATATGGGGTTCGAGGGTGATATGGGGGTCAGGGGTTGATATAGAGGTTGAGGGTTGATATGGGGTTGGGGGTTGATATGGGGTTCGAGGGATGATATGGGGGTCGAGGGTTGATATAGGGGTTGAGGGATGATATGGGGGTCGAGGGTTGATATGGGGTTCGAGGGATGATATGGGGGTCGAGGGTTGATATGGGGGTTGAGGGATGATATGGGGGTCGGGGGTTGATATGGGGGTTGAGGGCTGATATGGAGGTCGATGGTTGATATGGGGTTGGGGGTTGATATGGGGGTCAAGGGATGATATGGGGGTCGAGGGTTGATATGGGGGTTGAGGGATGATATGGGGGTCGGGGGTTGATATGGGGGTCAGGGGCTGATATGAGGGTCGGGGGTTGAATTTCAGGCTCAAAGTTTTAAATTAAAAAAAACGGTAGCTGTAGCTGACAATATATAAAATCTCAATACAAACTCCTACCCCCCTCCTCTCTCCCCAAACATAAAATGGTTGATCCCTTAGAAATAATGGCTTATGAAGAAATTATTATACTGATTTTACGAAACTCGCTTTGGAAATACAAGTTTTCTGAAACTCATTCAGTAAAATCAGTACGAAACACATGCATCATGTAATAATGTCTATCTCTCAAAGTGTACTGATGTTATTATGTACTGATGTTATTAAATGTTAAATCGACCTGAAGAAATTCAAACAAATTTGAAAGGATGAGGTAGGACATTTTTTGCCCATTGTAAATGACAGATATTAAAGTTGTGGAAAATTTTGTAATGGTATGAAGATCATACATGTTTCTTGTCTTGACTTACAAGTTTTTAACTTCTGACATGTTCAAGTACACAAGAAGAGTATGTGTGTGTGTTTGTGTGTGTGTGCGTGGCTGCTTGTACTATTCCGGAATTGTGGCGGTTTAATTGTGCTAGCCAACTAACATGGATACCCCACTGAGCCACTGTATACAGACTCATTGCGGACCAACCCTTGTTTTTTATTTTTATCCCCTTTATGACAAGTGCCAGGCAGGTAACAATAAGTACCATCTTTTAATGTCTTTTGTTAGGACCTGGACGGGGATCAAACCACCAACACTCTGAACTCTGAGTAGACTCGCTGTCCACTTCACTACAGATGCGGTTAAAACAAAATTATTGTACAATCTCATTAAAATCAGAGCTTAGTTCTCGCTACCGCTAAACAAAGATCTGAGGACATCCCATTAAGGGGTACATCAGACCGACCTTGCACCAACTTTGGCCGACCCATGGATTGACCAATCAGAAGGGAGCTTTCTTGTGCTTTACGGCACTCATTCCAAATTGGCGACTAGGCTTTGAAACATATTTGGACAAATTCTCGATTACAAATTTGAAACCTGGACAAAAGAACATTCTGGAATGGCTAATAAATGGTCTAGATTGTATGTATTCAGTTGTTAAACCCGTAGCGTTCGGAATACCCCATGATAAGTTTTCGAGGTTGCATGATTAGAAATCACATTACGACTGTCACTTTCATAATCTGGTAAGCAACGCACTGATTAGTCGGATGAAAGGTCATTCTGACATGACCCCTAATGGGATGTCTTCAGATCTTTGTTTAGCGGTAGCGAGGACTAAGGTCTGATTTTAATGAGATTGAATTATTGTACAAATAGCCATCTTTCAACTGTATATTCTATAATGGCACTGCAGGCATGATGGCAGTGAAACAATGCTATTCTTCACCTGTTTCTTCGTCTCATCACTGAGAATTGAGTTGCCTTTCAATTGATCACCAATGGCTTCCATTTCTGCAAAATTACAAAAACATGTCGTAGTTTTACTAATTTGGTAATCATGGTGATATCTACAATACTGAAAGCACATCAGGCAAATACTCAAGGAAACACCATCTCTAGCCCTAAAACCTCTTATCATATAATGGATAGTGTTGTCAAATTACCAATTTGACAAACTTGATATCATGAGAAATAATGAGTTTACTAGCAAGAGCTACTATTAAACCCCCATACATCGATGCAATGTCTGCTTGATCAAAAAACTATTATCTGACGTTCCCAATAAGTTAAGATAGGGGTTTCTCGATATGAGGGTGATTCTGCAGAATCTAAGATAAATGCATTTTGAGAGAATTCAGGAACATGGCCAAACAGAAAGGGTCAAACGAAAGTAAAAAATTTAAATACTGTGAAAATAGGAGTATGATGAGCCCCACCACAAACTACACGTCCCAGACATTATTACATTTGGAACAAAAATGGTTGGTTTGGGGTTGGTTTGTTGTTTAACTCCGCACTCAGCAATATTCTAGCTATATGATGGCGGTCTATAAATAATTGAGACTGGACCAGACAATCCAGTGATTAATATCATGAGCATCGATCCATGGAATTGGGATCGATGACATGCATCAAACAAGTCAGCGAGCCTGACCCCCCGATCCTGTTAGTCGCCTTTTACGACAAGCATAGTCACCTTTTATGGCAAGCATGGGTTGCTGAAGACCTACTTTAACCCGGAATCTTCACGGGTATGGGAAAAAAATGGCTGAGTAATGGCAATAAGATGTTTCAACTTTCAATCTGGTCATAGTGCAAACGTCAAATCATGGTCAAAAATCAAATTATCGCATAAACAGAACACATATGCTGAGCCCTTCTGCTAACTGCACATATATCAGTAGCATTACATTTATAACAAATATTATGGAGCAATGACCACAAATATTTCTTTCAATATGAGTTAGAAATTGGCACTAGTCCAATAGTCCTTGCCAAGCTGCCCAATAGTTAAGGTATCATACGGACTGGTAGAAATTGGCCCTTTTAAAGGTTGCTTTATGTTATCATTATAAGGTCAAATGGGCTAAAGCTGTAAGTTTCTGCTGCTGCATAATGTGGCTGCCTTGATGGCCACATTGAAAATCAGATTCAAACCTCTTCAACAAATTCAGGTGTCGTCATTTGTGGTCATGAGCATGTCAAGTTTCTGTTTCATGGGTTCAGTAGTTTCTGGTTTGGTTTGTTGTATAACACCGCACTCAGCAATATTCCAGCTATATGACGGCGGTCTGTAAAATAACCGAGTCTGGACCAGACAATCCAGTGATTGACAACATGAGCATCGAGCCACGCAGTTGGGACCGATGACATGCATCAACCAAATCAGCGAGCCTGACCACCCGATCCCGTTGGTCGCCTTTTACGACAAGCATAGTCACCTTTTATGGCAAGCATGGGTTGATGAAGATCTATTCCACCCCGGATCTTCACGGGCCCAGTAGTTTCTGAAGAGATGTTTACAGTGATAATAAATGCATTTAGGGAGAATTTAATAGCATGCTCCAAATTGCATAGATCAAATCAAGGTCATATTCAAAATATCACCCCAAAAAGCCAGAACATTCATTTCATGTTCAGATGATAACACTGATACCAGCAATGCACTTACTGTCTATACAAACATGCTGACTCAGGTTAACTGTAGGTCAGGAGTAGGTAGGTTGGTTGGTTGGTTTGTTGTTTAACGCCGCACTCAGCAATATTCCAGCTATATGACGGCGGTCTGTAAATAATCAAGTCTGGACCAGACAATCCAGTGATTAATATCATGAACATCGATCCACGCAATTGGATCCATGACATGTATCAACCAAGTCAACGAGTCTGACCGCCCGATCCCGTTAGTCGCCTCTTATGACAAGCATAGTCGCCTTTAACGGCAAGTATGGGTTGCTGAAGACCTATTCTACCCCGGAATCTTCACGGGTCTCGGAGATATGGAAGCACCACATATTACTCATTGAAAGTAGGTCACCACGACCTACTTTTGATTCCATAGGATCGTCATCATTTCTCATACTTTAAATATTCAGATAACATAACGATTACATGAATAAGACTTTCAAAATAACTGCAGAAAAATACAATTCACAGTGACTTTGGCCTTGCATACATTCAAATAAAACGCTCAAGACACAGCATGATCAGGCAGCATTGTAAAAGGTTTTATTGTTGAGATAAGCATTCTGTGGTTTCAATGTCTGGATCTTTTTGCCTCAGTTGTGACCATGATATTTACACCTTGACCATGGACCTATATATTTAGGTTGTGTATAACCAGGGTATTTTGGAAAAGGGTTTTTATATTTACTTAAATGTAGTTTTACTAAATTGAGTGATAGAGATAACATTTTCATTAGTACATTGAAATTAGCAGAATCTGGTCTTGCAATATAAGTATCAGAGGGGAAATGAATGGATGGAACAAACTGTCAGTCTTGAAATGATCGAATATTTCTCACTACTACTGCTTGATTGGAATGTCTGATTAACATGATTAAGCATCTTTAAGACGCTTTCCAGTCTGACAGAGTGTTGGATTTTTGTCATAAAGAGGTTGAATTATGAGTATGTTATTAAGAGTTTATCGGTTGACCAATGAGTTAGGAAATTAGCTGAAGGTTTGGTTTAGAAGGGCTTGATAGAAGAACTGATTGGAACAGAAATTGGGGTTCATATGGAGGTGAGCGTTAGGACTCATTTTCACATGACGTCAAATACTATTTCGGGGTGAGGAGCAAAAATTATCATGGATAGTATTTAGGGAGTTGTCCGAGAGTGGTGCGGGGAGTCGGGAGGAGACAGCTGAACAGAAAGGTTCACTGTGGTTTTGGGATCCCGAGTCAGAAAAGAAGTAGAGGTAACGTTCATCAGAAAAACCATCAGGCTCTTCAACCATCATATAGGTATGTGTTGTATTTATATCAGGCAACAACAAGAACTAATCTGAGGACCACGTATACATATTTATGATTAATTCTATCATAAATAAAAAGAGGCTGGAGCAAACCATCGGACTTGTGATTTTCAAGAGAGCTACATCATCCCTAGAACAAAGGAGTAGTTGATAGGTAGAAGTGACCATAGGTAGAAGGGTAAAGTACCCGGAACCTAAGGTTACATGTGCCTGTAGAATCTACATTGTAATCAATAACTGTACTGATTACAATGTAGATTCTACAGGCACGGCCTTAATATATAGGTCCTTGGTCAAGGTTACATTGTAATCATTAACTGTACTTATAACTGACTGAGTGAGTTGGGTTTAACGCCACTTTTAACAGTATTCCAGTTATATCACGGCGTGTCAGCTTAATGTGGGAGGAAAGCCCGAAGTGATGCAGGTCTCTGACGTTTACCACTTCGGTCAAACCCACGAGCACGGGTATGGTGCTGACAACCCTAGAAATATAATCGGGGTGAACCGGGATTCGAACCCAAAATCATAGGTTTCTGGCGTGCCCAAGTCTGCACAGCGAATTGCAGTGCCTTAAAGACCGATAAAGTTATATACAAAGTGTTTGATGTGGTCTATTTCTTCGTATCTACCTAACCATTAATTCCTTGGGTCTAAAACGCTCCAGCATGTCAAAATATTCAAGCAAAGTTGGATACCTTTATATTCTTCATAGTATGGTATGTAAAAAAACCTGTGTACCTTTTCCTAATTAACTCGTGAAAATCCGGGGTAGAAAAGGTCTTCAGCAACCCATGCTTACCGTAATAGGTGACTATGCTTGTCGTAAGAGGCGACTAACAAGATCGGGTGGTCAGGCTTGCTGACTTGATTGATGAATGTCATTGTATCCCGATCGCGTGGATTGATGCTCATGATGTCAATCAGTGGATTGTCTGGTCCAGACTCGATTATTTACAGACTGCCATCATATAGCTCGAATATTGCTGAGTGTGGCGTTAAACAACAAACAATAACTGTACATATCATTATTTCTTAGCACATATTATTGACCAAAGAAATTAATAATACCGTATTCGACGTAATAAGCGCCCAGGGCGCTCTCAAAATTAGAAATAGGGGTGAAAACAGAGTTGCAAGATCATAAATTTTGTGGTTTATGCTGACAGCCTTAAATGTTTATATATACGACGGATATATTTTTCCAGGATTTAATTGCCCATAATTAAGGGTGCATATAACACACGGGTGCGTATTATACACGAATAAATAAGTCATTGATCAATCGCAAGGGGTGCTAATTGAGATTGTTCACTAGCCAATATATTAGCAAATATCATTGTGGGCGCTTATTAGAGCGGGGCGCTTATTACGTTGAATACGGTATAATAAATTAGATTGGTCTGGCCACAACAAAAAGTATTTTCAACTGAAAAAGAAAACAATACTGTGTAATTGTAATACATCGTGAGGCGGTCGGGTAGCCTAGTGGTTAAAGCATTCGTTCATCACGCCGAAGACCCAGGTTCGATTCCCGACATGTGTACAATGTTTGAAGCCCATTTCTGGTGTCCCCTGCTGTGATATTGCTTGAATATTGCTAATAGCGGCGTAAAACCATACTCACTCACTCATTCACTGTAATACATCTCGCCTCGACATATAGCAGTAAGTTGTTAACAAGACATAATTCCATTTGTCAAATTTCAATCAATATCAAACAGCACAAATTTTGTTTAATGTTACATTTCCAAGGACCATATCTGCTATTCTGTATATATAACAAATGAAGGCATATTACAAACTCCTGAACAGAACACGTTGTCCACAATCCCAAAATGACCAGAGGACATTATTGCTTGAACTATTGACCTCTCAACCTGCTTGGTGAGGGTGCACATCCTCATCTTGTTTTGCGTCAACAATCGGAACACAATCACCTACATAAACGTAAATGTTTCAAATAAGTTCAAATCGACAATGTTGGTGTGTAAAATGATATCCTGACTGTTTCAAATAATTTACTCAATCTCACGAGAGAATATGCATACTCAAGTTTTAATAAAACAGCGCCACGAGGGTCACCCTCAGTTCGCTATCGCGGAGTGTTACAGTCCAGTGTACCAACTAACAATAAGTACATCCGATGCGTGCATTCTCGTGATTGGTAAAGATTCTCTTAAAGATTTCTATTATCTAGCGATTTAACAGGATTTTTCTAAAGGAGGCCAAGAAACATAACGTTAAAATTTCAACCGGTAGATTAAAAGGTCTATTGACATTGCATCGATAAGCTTGGTTTGCAAACCATAAGTGAAGTAAATTCTGTTTGAGCACATGTCGACACATATTCGTTGCATGCTGAATTTGAATTCAACCAAGTTTCAATTCTGGCCGTTCGTAGCAAGTAATAGGTTCATTATAACACGGAGTCTAAAATACTTGCATCAAGTTTGAAAGCTCGGCCAGCAGTGACAGAACTAGACTAGATTTTCTAGCGCAAAGGTGTCTTTCCAGAATCCTTGTGTGGTAACTTGGCCTACAGATCGTGTTTGTGGATGATGAGAATTGCGTACACACCTGATTTCTGTTGTACAATGAACGTGGTCTAGCTGTGATCTTCCAAGAATTGCAAGCGTGGACAATGTCATGCGTCTACACCAGCTTGTTCCCGGTGCATGGTGTGTTGTTACCGCGAGGGTCTGGAGGAGAGGCTGCGGCGTGCGCACAGCTGTCTCAATCTTAGCACAGCTGTTTCTGTCGATCTTCAACAAGTTGCCGATTTATCGGATTGCGTCTGGGCTACTTTCATTATTCAGACGGGGAAACATTGCACCACCACAGGGGTGGATTTGGTTGGTTTGTTGTTTAACGCCGCACTCAGCAATATTCAAGCTATATGACGGCGGTCTGTAAATAATCGAGTCTGGACCAGACAATCCAGTGATTGATATCACGAGCATCGATCCACGCAATTGGGTTCGATGACATGCATCAACCAAGTCAGCGAGCCTGATCCCGTTAGTCGCCTTTTACGACAAGCATAGTCACCTTTTACGGCAAGCATGGGTTGCTGAAGACCTTTAATTTCTACCCCGGATCTTCACGGGTCACACACATTTATACCCCCCAACACACATTTATATATAGGATATACTATAGTTCAAACGTACACTTCACATAGCATGTTTTCCATCGTCTGTCATCGTCGTTTGTTTGTTTGTTGTTTAACGCCGCACTCAACAGTATTCCAGCTATATGACGGCGGTCTGTAAATAATCGAGTCTGGACCAGAATATCCAGTGGTTGATATCATGAGCATCGATCCACGCAATTGGGATACGATGAAATGCATCAACCAAGTCAGGGAGCCTGATCCCGTTAGTCGCCTTTTACGACAAGCATAGTCACCTTTTACGGCAAGCATGGGTTGCTGAAGACCTTTAATTTCTACCCCGGATCTTCACGGGTCACACACATTTATACCCCCCAACACACATTTATATATAGGATATACTATAGTTCAAACGTACACTTCACATAGCATGTTTTCCATCGTCTGTCATCGTCGTTTGTTTGTTTGTTGTTTAACGCCGCACTCAACAGTATTCCAGCTATATGACGGCGGTCTGTAAATAATCGAGTCTGGAACAGAATATCCAGTGGTTGATATCATGAGCATCGATCCACGCAATTGGGATACGATGAAATGCATCAACCAAGTCAGGGAGCCTGACCACCCGATCCCGTTAGTCGGCTCTTACGACAAGCATAGTCGCCTTTTACGGCAAGCATGGGTTGCTGAAGACCTATTCTACCCCGGATCTTCACGGGTCGGGGTGACATGTTGTCGAGTCTTGATTAACACCACGCTGAAAACAATAAGAAACATAATCAAGGCTTGGAGATAATGTTGTTGGTTGTTTAACGCCGCACTCAGCAATATTCCAGCTATATATATGACGGCCGTTACTTTTTGTAAGCCTGTGTTAAAGTATGGGAGTTACGATCATCTTAGAGCTAAGATCGCTTTGTGCAAGTGGGCCCAGGTGTGCGTCAAAAGGTATCCCATCAGGCATGTCAGGCCAAGATGCATCGTCAAGTGGATGGATGTCCTGTATGCTTCCCAGTGTAGGGAAGAATTATTTCAGTTCTTCACTGACCCGTGAAGATTATGCTTGTCGTAAAAGGCGACTAACGGGATCGGGTGGTCAGGCTCGCTGACTTGGTTGATACATGTCATCGATCCCAATTGCGTAGATCGATGCTCATGATGTCATTCACTGGATTGTCTGGTCCAGACTCGAGTATTTTACAGACCACCGTCATATAGCTGGAATATTGCTGAGTGTGGCGTTAAACAACAAACAAACAAATCAAATGTTGCAAAATATCCATGGCCAGAAGACAAAGCTGTCTATATGACACTAGGAGCAGCTGACATTCAACGGCAGTGATTCTCTCATCTTCATGAGAAATTCCAATCATGAAGAAGCAGACACAAGGATTGTCATTCATTCCTTGCATGGTGCGACGTCACTGCAGATGCGTACAGTGGATACAGATGTTTTGTTCATCCTTACTGGATAATTTTTTGACCTGATTGCACTACAAAGTAGATATATGGGATGCCTTTGGAATTTGGGAGGGCTGCATTCACCTGCTCTACCAGTGTGTCATGCCATCTCGGTGTGTGGCACGTCAGCCTTTGTTGGGAAAAGTAAAATGTTATCCTGGCAAGCTTGGGAGGCTCTAGATGAAGTGACAGAAACCTTTGTGCAACTAAATCCCACCATGTATTTCCAGTGCTTAACACAGATTCTGGTCACATCCGAATCCCGTGAAGATTCCGGGGTAGAAAAGGTCTTCAGCAACCCATGCTTGCCGTAAAGGCGACTAACGGGATCGGGTGGTCAGGCTCACTGACTTGGTTGATGCATGTCATCGATCCCAATTGCGTGGATCGATGTTCATGATATTAATCACTGGATTGTCTGGTCCAGACTCGATTATTTACAGACCGCCGTCATATAGCTGGAATATTGCTAAATGCGGCGTTAAACAACAAACCAACCAACCAACCAACCAAATGCTTGAGCGTTTCGCTGCTGTCATGCTCGAGAAGACAAGAATCAATCAATCAATGAGCTGAAAAAGGATCTTTTCCGCCACAATATTCAACCGATGGACAAGCTTCTTCCAACCCAAGAACCCTTGCTACACCATACAATTTCTATCCCTTGAAGTTTTGGGTGGACCAAAGTCGGTACATCATGGAATCAATTGTTGATGGAGGGAACTCACCAAATGTACATGCAAACCAAAATGCATTACTTGTAAATGTATTAACGCTCATTTGGACTGTACACAACTGCAGATGCAAATAATCTCGACTGTATTCATATACTTGTGCTACCTTAACACCAATCTGACTGAATGAATGACATCGTCTATCTCCATGAGTTTTAGAATTTAATATCTTTTGTCTTTTTTTACATTTTCTTTTTGCTCCTTCTATGAATGTAAACTATAATCGTATTATCAGTAGGAGTATGAAAAGACATTTCATTTGATATGTTACATGTCACAGTTGTGAGCAAGATTAAAATTTTCACGAACTGTTTTATTGCCGGGAAAGTGGTTTGTCGGCCATGTTGGATTTTAGTGGCTAACGGAAGTTACAAATATATTTCAAGGTGGCTCCTATCCCAAATCTATTAAGTATGGGTGGGTGTATCAGAATGCCAAATTTGATGCTTTTATCCACCTTGTAACAATAATTTGGTTAAACCCCTTGACTAGTCAATATTTTAAGCGTCTGCCGGGAGAGCGGAGACTAACCTGCTCGGGTGTCAGTAAATATTGTGTCTGTGTGGGGTATCCATATTAAACCGCTGTATATAGTTTCTTATTGGGGTAAAACCAGCATTGGTCCGGCCTGGCGTACGCACGCATGCACTCACGCACGCACAATAACCTTGAACGTGACCACGCTATGGAATTACTGAACGGCAGATTTGAATTACCCAGTTTTGAACTACACGTGGATAGAAGCAAACAAGAGCGCACGGCAAGAGGACATTTCATAATGCGACAAATTCAACTATGCTGCTGTTTTGATACATCACAGTCAAATTACATTTTTGACAAGTATTCTTTATTTGGATAGTTTCTATGATATTCACTGCACTTGATTATCAGGTACTTAAAAACTCATAACATTTATTACATTAAGTTTTCAAGAACAATTTCTGTAAGCATTTACTGTTGATATGTTTACGGTAGCTTCCTCTTATCCTTCCTCTTTTCTTTAACGAATTTCGAAATAATTAGTTTTATTAGATTTATGGTATACCAACCATCATAATGTGAATGTTTATCGAGGAATCGATATATTTCTAGCAACCTGAGAGAGAGAGATAATCACCCAACTATATATTCATAGCAACTGATTAAGCAAAGTTAAACATTATTGTTAAGCACTAGTTATGGAAGTGGAGTGTCAGTATATTTAGGTCAGTGCTAGCTGGTATACGTTAAATTTATACCCGACAGCAATGTCAGACAATGTCATGCACATACAAATAGATAGTTAATAAAAACTATCATTCGGTACACGTCTGACCTCAGCTTAGCTGACACAGACCTTAAATGTGTACTTTTAACATGGTCCACGAATCCCTGAGTACATTCAGCCATCTCTATAGTTTAGTTATATATTCACTTCTGATCCGTGAAGATCCGGGGTAGAATGGGTCTTCAGCAACCTATGCTTGCCGTAAAAGGCTTTTGTTTGATTGGTTTGTTTGTTGTTTAACGCCGCACTCGGCAATATTCTAGCTATATGACGGCGGTCTGTAAATAATCGAGTCTGGACCAGACAATTCAGTGATTGATATCGTTTGTTTGTTGTTTAACGCCGCACTCAGCAATATTCCAGCTATATGACGGTGGTCTGTAAAATAATCGAGTCTGGATCAGACAATCCAGTGATTGACATCATGAGCATCGATCCACGCAATTGGGATCGATGACATGTATCAACCAAGTCAGCGAGCCTGACCACCCGATCCCGTTAGTCGCCTTTTACGACAAGCATAGTCGCCTTTTGCGGCAAGTATGGGTTGCTGAAGACCTATTCTACCCCGGAATCTTCACGGGTCTGATCATCGATCCACGCAATTGGAATCGATGACATGCATCAACCAAGTCAGCGAGCCTGACCACCCGATCCCGTTAGTCGCCTTTTACGACAAGCATAGTCGCGTGTATCAACATAACAATTCAAACAAGCAACTGATGAGTGAGTGAGTATGGTTTTACGCCGCGTTTAGCAATATTCTAGCAATATCACGGCGGGGGACACCAGAAATGGGCTTCACACATTGTACCCATGTCGGGAATCGAACCCGGGTCTTCGGCGTGACGAGCGAACGCTTTAACCACTAGGCTACCCGACCGCCCCTAGCAACTGATGAATAAGTAACGAAACATACTAGATGTTTTGACCTACATTAGGCCTATCTTGATAATATTGTATAGGCCCAACGTTACCTGAATTCGGCGATCATGTTTCTCGCGTTATTGTCCAAGAGCACGTGCTGTGTCAGAGGTCACCGGATGATATTTTCGTCAGCAGGTCACTTCGACCCTCTCGGAAAAAAATCGGCTCCATATGGAAATCAGGAAGGTATTCTTACTATAGTTACAAAAAAGTTGTTGAAATATACTTTCGAGACTTATCTTACCCTAT